AATAAACGTTATTAATGAATAATTCGTAATGATAGTAGGTGTTGCAATAAAAAATTTTATTGAACAATTTATGAAACTGACTTTGTATAATACAATATGAAAAAAAATATATGTTAAGTACTTTCTTAGTACAGTTATATTTTAAATTTTTATTTTAGTACAGTTAAAACTGTATAGTATTATTTAAAAATAATTAAATACCTTTTCTCTATTTACATTAACATTTAATACACCCATTAGTTAAGATTCACACAGCATGGCGTTTTGAAAATATCTACCATATATCTGTCAAAATATCTATCTCTGTCAGTACTGGGTACGTTCCTATAAAATATTGCAGATCTTCTACTTTATTTAAATTGCATAGCGAGCAGACAGTTTCTTTTTTGTTGTCCAAAATATCAATGAAATTCATTTGATTTAAAAATTCTTTAAAATAGTAAATATTTTTATTAAATATTTTTATATGTAGTTAATGAGGTAGTCTTTAATTATCATATTCAAAAAAATTTATTCTGATATTATAAAGATGTAGGTTAAGAGTATCTTTAATAATAAAAACTGGATGTAAATATCTTCAAAAAAAGATGTTTACGTTTCAAAACCAGCGGAAGGCCAGACTTTCACTCCGTAAGCTAGGATTGAACCACGGCCGATTAGGAAGAGAAACCATTTAATCTTCAGAGAAATGTTTTCAAGGTAAATGCAGGAAAATGTTTCCAAATCACATTAATTTTAATAAATTTAATTTCAATTTTTAAAATACTTCTAGTAAAACAGTTAAAACCTTATAAATCTTATTAAATAAACTTTAAAATCTATCATCTTTAAAGCAAGAGCAGCAATACTAAAATAAAACTACACCGTGCACTCACCAAGAACATGACAAAGATCAATGTATTAATCTTCGGGAACAAAAAGATATGATTCACTTCAAACAAAAACGCAATTTTGTAGAATAATTGAGAAAGTTATATCCTCAAAAATAATTCTTGCCACTAAAAACGTGTATTACTAAAAAATCTTTAACCGGAGAAGCTGGGAAACGGTAAGCCAGTTTCTGTTTAAAGCGATGCAATACGGTAAAATAATTATTAAAGAATAATTTTTTAGAAATAATTTAATAAATTTAATTAATATTTAAGTAACAATTTCGAATAGTTAATTAGAAATAATTTAAATAGTTTTTATTACTCAAATTATTTGTAATATTAAATATATGGCAGATATGACAATGCCCAAACACATGCCATTTTTTAAAGTACATTTTTAAAGTAATATTTTTTTTTAGAAGTAAATATATAGTATAATATATATATATAATATTTTTAAATTGGAAATATATAGATATTTTATTATATTATATAAAAGTAAATATAAATAATATAGATATAAATAAAATATATTATTTGAATGAACTGTACCAAAAACATAGAAATCGACTAAGAAAACTAATAAAATAGTTTGGAGGGAGGAGGGAAAGTATATTTTAAAAGGAGGAATCTGGAATGTTTTGGCTGGATATGTTATAGAAACGTTAAAATATAGAAGCAAATTATAAATTAAATTTTTTTAAATTTGTAATGAATTGTAAACAAACTGTTGTAAAGTACCAGTAAATATATACGATACAGTACTATATTATATATAAACTGTGACTATTTTATTACATATTATTGTTATTATGTAATAAACAATGATATTGAAGAGTTTTTAAATTTATATTAATAATTTATATTATTAGATTATATAAATATATTTTATATGTGCCAAGCTGTACATATTAGTCAAAGTAGAAATCCGTCTGGTTCAAGAGGGTGGGACATAATACATCATAGTAAATGTTTAATAATTTCCTTTGTATAGTCATTATCAGAGATACTCAAAAATTCTCTATTAAAACCTCCTAATCTAGTCATACTACATATTATCTATTTTGTATGTTATGTTTTTATATTATTAATATGTTATTTAATTACAGATGTGTTGAGATTTATACTACTTTTCACTTAATTTACTTAATTAAAATGTTTTTGTTTACTAAATAATTTTTTTAAAGTTCATTTCGATTTTCAAGATTGAGTTCGATTTTCAGAGATTTTGAATATACTGTTTTTATTGTTATTGATTCATAATCTTGTGCTTGAAGTTTTATTTATAATAAGGAATGCATGCCTGTCATCAAAATATTCAGATTGCCAAGTTTTTTCTGGAATATTAATTTTTTTGTCTGTATTTGCTTTCAATATCTACGTATTTTGCATTAGAAAATTTTCTCAGTTGATCATAACAAAAAATATTTTTTATATATTTTCTTATAAAAATTATCTATTCCAATCATATCGTATTTTGCATTAGAAAATTTCTGAGTTGATCATAACAAAAAATATTTTCTATACATTTTCTTACAAAAATTATCTATTCCAATCATGTCTAGTAAGCTCTGCATTTACGATTAATTAATACTTTTAAGCTTTCAGAATTCTCTGTCCCGAATTTTTGGAAAAATATGTTTATTGTAATATAGTATTTTATAAAACAAAATCACTGAATATGAGCTTTAATATGATATATAGAAAGAGAACTGTCAATAATATAATGGCTTCATGCTATACATACTAATTTTATGCTATACATAATTTTTTATTCTGTTCAGAAAAAATAGTTCTACAATCTATTTCGTAAGCTTTTTTAAACTCTTAGTGAATTAATTTTTATTAAAATTATTATATTAATTTATTATAATAGTAAATAACTCGTTTTTATGCGCCATTCAGCAACGTTTGTAATTTAAAAGTATTATGTTACAAGACATTGAATCTAATAAATTAGCTTTTACTCAGCAATTATAAATATTTTTTATTTACAATATAATTGAGATTTCTAACATTTGATATTTGACATATTATTTTAAAAAAGCAACAATTTCATAATATTTATGAAACAGTCCCATATTCTGATTCTTAGGATTATACCCGTCAATTTATTAACATATTGGCTTATTCGATGCCATTTATCCATTTTTCATTCGGCTTCACTTAATTTATAGTTTAAAACTATGTAACATAGGTTAGAAGAATCAATAGCACGACATTCAATATTACGATATCCAAGACACACCAATTCGACAATGATATATATCGATTTGTTCCCACTATGCTTTATATCGATATAGCTAGCTAACTTCTTACAATGGTTATTTCAACGAAACCTACATACGCCATCTAGTGTTAATTAGTATATGTAATTTTTATATTGATTACACAAATAATGGGTAACAACGAAGAAGTTGCAAAAATTTCCAACCTTTAGTTCAGATGTTATGAAATGTAATCTACGAATATATTGACATATAGAATAATACAAAAAGTTATTCGAATAAAGCTGTTAATATTTCTTTATTAAAATCTGTTGTTGATAACGAAAAGTGAGATGTGTTATTCTGAGGCTTCTGCTCATCATACTGTATTATCTGTACCTTTATTAAATTAAAACAACTTAAATTGATATTATTATTGATGGCTATTAAGCAATAAAGTTCAAGATAAAAATATCTTTATAAGTACTACTAATAAAATTAACTGATTAAGTGTTTCAATTTTACTGAACCTCCTCTTATCAGTAGATTGATTAAAATTGATTGCGCTATTTATTTATAGGAGCATTCAAGTTGTTTTATTTTATTGATGTAGGTCATTAAAAGTTCAGTGTTTATAATAGGGTAAATATGATAAATATAGCAGAAATACAAAAATGTTAAAAGTTGATAATAAATCAAGTAAAACATTTATTCATATATTTTTAGATATTTGGAGCACATACGAGTATGGCTTTTATATATATATATTTTTTGTTATGAATATTGAAAGCTGTGGAGCTTATATACACGAAAAATTTGTACATATACATGTACAATTTCTTCCAAAACAAATAATAATAAAAAATAAATTTTAAAAATTTAGCATTCAAATGATCACCACAATACCCTACATTTGTAAAAAATAATTACATAAATGTTTTTACAAATATATTTAATTTAGCTATACTTTATTTTATTCCAGTAATTATAATTACTGGAAGTCACACGCATACAAATATTATGCCATCCATGGATGATATCTTCTGAGCTTACCTAGATATATTAAAGTTATTGATAAACTATACAATAACTCCAGACCTCACTCATTTTAATAAGAAATTTGGTAGTATAGTATGGTAATATCTTAGCTACAGCAGAGTTAGTACAGAAGTTCTACAATATGATTACTTTATAGATTATCATAGCTATAGCAAAATATATCTGATCATTTTAATACAAAAAACTTATCCAACATTCCTAACTTGATTGATTTCGGTATGATAAACTAATAATGTTAAGTTGATAAAAACAACAATGAGAATTTCAATTATTATCTGATATTCTTCACAATGCTCCGAGGTGAGGTGTTCACGTTAAAGTAAGTTGGGTAAAAATACATATTTTATTATTAACTAATTAAGAAGTTAATTAGAAGTGTTTATTTTTATTTACGTAAGCATGCTACAAATAAATTTTCTCCATTTCTCCGATCACTTTGTATGGTATATGGTATTTTATAGTAGTAGTATACGGTATATTTAAAAATTACATATATTTTAACATCCACATCTGGGAAAATCTGGTAAGAGGCTTCTCTATATATGTTCTCAGTATACTTTTCAAATATATTTTCAAAATCTTTCTGAATGTGGAGCACATAATTTGCTATTGGATTTGGCAAAACTGAAGTTGCTGCATAATAAGCCTATTCATCTCTTCCGGTCGTTTTTAATTACTAGAATGAGACTTCAATCATTGGTTCTAAATATATCGATGGCTGTCATTCCTTTGTAATTCATTATAAAGAATAAAAAAATAAAATATAAAAAATAAAAAATCACTATATCCTTGAAACTCAATTTGTTAGAAAATCAATTTCATTTTTCCAAGACAAAATTTTTTATATCTGATTAAAATATCATTTGTTTTCATTGCGGTTATTTTAAATTATTTCATATTAAGTGTTCTTTACATAGCGTGATTTCAAGTCATAATTGACCGACTTTAAAATTATTTTGTTTGAAGAAACTTTATGGGAATACTAAATTAATTTTTCCGCCCATTGTTATGGATTGATGGAGGATGGTCAAGTTCAAACGCGAAACAGTAATATAAGCCCTAGAATACAAAATACAATCAAATAATATCTTTATATGTATATATTTTTTAAGCATTATTTTTATCACTATATCACAAATTGTTGGTTATTTTTCTTAAATAGAGTATTTGTTTATTTACATAGACGGTATCTTTATATAAACACAATAAATATGGGCACAATATAAACACATGCTCAAATTTGTTTTAATTTTTTTAAATTTTTCAATTGATAAATTGAAACTTTGTGTTTATAGATAGATTCCATATGTGAATAAAATTATTTAAAAATGAAAAATATTCTCTCAAGTTCAGTTGAATTTTAATTTTTTTAGAGTGAATGTTCTGATCGCTGCTAGTCTAGATTGGTTTCCAACGACAAAATGTTTTTGATAACAATTTTTTTAATTGTTACTGTAGTTGCTTTAATATATTTGTTCTTAATATGGAACTCCAATTATTGGAAAAAACGAAACGTAAATGGTCCTAAACCAAATCCTTTCTATGGAAGTTTTCCTAGCATTTACACACAAAAACGTAATATAGTTATGGATATGGATGATGTTTATAGGTGAATATAATTTTCAATACTTTTTCTTGGTGTCCGTAGTGATAATTTTATATATTTTTTTGTAGAAAGTACAAAAGAGATGAAGATTTCGTGGGTATATTTAACTGTAGAAGTCCTGCATTGTTGGTTACAAGTCCGGAACTAGCTCGCAGAGTATATGTGACTGATTTCAAACATTTTCACGATAATGAAGCATCTACTATGGTAAGCTGGTAATTGTGCAAATAATAACAACTTTAATTTATTATACAATTTCCTTCTTTATGAGTTTTAATTTTATTTTTTTAATTTATCAATGGCATTTAGGTTGATAGTAAATCCGATTTTATATTTGCTAATAATCCGTTCAGTTTAAGAGGTGAGGAATGGAAACAGCGTCGTGCAGAAGTGACACCGGGTCTTACGGCTAGTAGAGTATGTTCTTATTAAATATATTCTTAAAGATAGGTACTGAGTTTTAGTGTTTGGTGATGTAATTGCTGGAAGAGAGAACACTTCCAGCATATCGTCATAAATATTAAATGTTACCAAAAACTGAGTTTTTATTAATAAAAGATATAGATCGTATATTAAAAAAAATTTAATTTGAAAATCTACTTACAGATAAAAACAGTTTATCCAGTAACGACTAAGGTCTGCGACAGAATGGTGGAGTACATACGTAAACAAATAAAAATGGCACCTAAGGATGGTGTTGATGGTAAAGATGTATGTAGTTTGTAATATTAATTTTAAGTATAATATATATATAAATATATTTTATTTTCTGTATAAAGCTTTCCTTACGATATACATCAGAAGTAGTTACAGATTGTGTACTTGGTATAAATGCTGACAGTTTCTCTGAAAATCCCAAACCCATTCTAAATAACATCAAAAATCTATTTGAACAATCTTATGTATTTATTATATATATGGTATTGGTTGGATTCTTCCCAATTTTGAAACAATTTTATAAGGTGCGATTAATACCAAAGCCTGTAGAAACATATTTCATCAACCTTATGGAAAGTGTTATTGAGTTAAGAAAAAAGACTGAGCAGACGGATCGTGTGGACTTTTTAAATTATATGCTACAATTACAACAGAAAAAGAATCTTGATACTATGCAATTGACTGCTCATACCATGACATTTCTGTTGGATGGATTCGAAACGACTGCTGGTGTTATATCGCATCTTCTTTTGCTTGTAAGTCTTTAAAATAAATTAAAAATTAAAAATAATGGGTTTTAATAATTTTCAACAAAAATAAAAATAAGCTTGGACGAAATATTGAAAAACAAGAGAAATTGCGTGCTGAAATATTGGAACACCTTCAGGGGGATAGTAATATAGATTTCGATAAACTCAGCGAATTACCTTATCTAGACGCTTGTGTGCATGGTTTGTTAAAGAAAATATTTAATGCATTCATAATAGAGATAAGATTATCACAGTTATAAATTTATTTTTATATACATTTTAGAGGCGATACGCATATTTCCTCCAGGCTTGTTAACAAGTAAGTTATGCACAGAGCCAATTGAGTTAACCAACAAGAATGGGTCCATACTAAAGGTACAATTAGGAGATGTCGTCTCTTTACCGCTGTACAGTTTAATGCATGACGAGGAGTATTATCCAAAACCTGAAGAGTTCATACCGGAACGATTTTCAGAAGAAACTGATGGTGTGAAAAAATATCGTGAAAAGGGTGTTTACTTTGGTTTTGCAGATGGTCCACGTGTTTGCTTAGGTAAATTATAGAAATATAAACAGAAGTGTATATACTTATAATATGAATACTTATTTGTAATGTTGCAGGAATGCGTTTTGCTTTAACACAGACGAAAGCTGCTATTGTTGCCATTTTGACTAACTTTAATATTTCTGTGAATGAAAAAACCCGAAAAGATAATAAATTAGATCCCAAATACTTTTTGGCTAGACTAGATGGTGGAATCTGGCTAAATTTTGAGCAAAGACATGTAATGTAAATTTTTGTTACTATGTTTTTGTAGTTAGTTAGTAAAATAAATCAATATGTAATTAAATTTAAAGATTCTATTTTTAACTCGTGCACTAATAGATGAAAACATATTCAACTGATAAGTTGTAAATTCAAAAATAAGAGTATTTAATTATGATCAGAGTCTTTATAACTAATAAATCAGTTGAATTAAATTAAAAATTTAACAATTTGATTGCAATATGAATTTCATGAGCAGTTAAACAAATATATAATAATCCGGAACTATCTTATTGGTAAGAAATGCGTTGATATATTTCAGAGTCAATTAAATACAACTACAGACTGTATCTTATGTACTTATCTCACGATGATACAAACATAAATAAAATATTTTCTCATTAAGAGAAAGACACTGCTCTTTTTAGCACTGACGCCCAGAGTCTCTATCTAGTAATATAATAAATTTCAACATGAATAGATATTTGTATACATATAGTCTATATACTATAGTCTATATAATTCATTTATATATTATTTTAATTAATTGAATTTTTGGGTATTGCCAAATACCCATCATCAATGCTCTTGGAAACAATTCTTGTATTTAATTATTCGCACATAATTTGTTGATAGTCTAAATAGTATGTATATCGTCATCTATTTTATTGGACTTAACTGTCAATATAATTTTAAGAAATGTTACAACTGTTGTAAGTAGTTTTTCTTAACTTGTTTTTTTTAACTACAAGTCCAAATAGAAGTTTAGAAACAAGGTTGTAAGAAACTTCTCTAACATGAAAAAATTTAATTAAGTCCAGCTATTAAGTTATAGTAATAATAAACGTTATTAATTAGCTTTAATAATAGCTATTATTAAGTTCAAAATTTCTTGCCAAATTATAAAAATTTTTACTTAAAACTGAGAGAAAATTTAAAATTTTAGTCTAATATGTTAAATAATCAATTCTAATATGTTTCTTACATGACTAATTAAACCGCGGTTTCCTTAACAGTTTTCTAACTGGTTCAACTATAAATTCATTACCGTAATTTAAATACAGGGTATTAACTAGAAAATCGCAATTACAAAAATTATAACTACTCAAATGCATATTTGTTTAGGAATAAACCTGAACTTACTTGGATAATCGTTTTAAAAATCAGATTCCGATAAGGTGTTATGGTTAGGTGTGTTTTAGAAAAATCATCGTAATACTAGTTTGATTCTAATAATCAAAATATAAACTATATTCATATCAAAATTAGATCGATTTTTCCTTATCCAGTACAAATCATGTTTTTTAGTCTGACATTGATGAGAAATTTTGATGAGTTACTGATCTAATACAACATTCTATTGTAGATTAAAGAATTTGATCCGTATCTAATTTACGAAATGTAAATGTTGTTGTTGAAACATTTCCGAGTTAGTGGGCACTTTTACTCTTTGATAAATATTATTCCAATTTGAATAAGTGATCAATTCACAAGCTTAGGAAATTGTGAAAGTTCTCTGATAACAGTTTCGCATTCATTTCTGATCAGAGAGTAGTACGAAACTTTTTTTCAAGTCTCTGGTAATTATTCCTTATAAGGTCTGTGTGAGGCAAGGTACTAAAAATGTGTTACGTTTATGGTGAGGGCATTGTATATTGTATGGCTATCTTTTAATACGGTTTTTGATGTTAAGTACATATTTGCAGTTCAGAACTGCATTGTGTACTGGAAATGCTAACGAATTATGATTTCTTGCGTATTTTAATCTGGTATGAACACTATTACGACTATACTGAATAAATTTTTAGTCGAATATACACTATTGGCAAATGTTAATCATTAATATAGTTTAACAGAATATTAACAGAATAGTTTAAAAATGTAATATAAATAATATTTATTCATACTGTAGAGAATCTAGGCAACTAATCCATAATCATGTTAAAGTATTGAAGAAGTCGAATCAGTTACTGTATAATTTAAAACCCAAATTTAGTATAATTTTACCATTACAACTATTAATACAGTTTAATTAATCTTAAAAAAAATTAAGATGTATCACATATACATCTATTGTAAATGTTTTTGAAAAAATGTTTTTTATTTAATAAATGCAAGTATTAAATTACAGCCAGACATAACAAAATGTTCGTGTTCATCTAATACCTTCGAGTGTCAAAATCCTTTTGCTACCAGCGCTCAACAGCTTCCCATTATATATCACAGCGGTTCATTTATTAGCTGCCACTATAACTGATTAACAATTAATTTTTATCCAATTTCGCAGAAGTATAAAATTCATTAAATTTTGTTGTTTTGTAATTTGCATAATAAATCATAAGTAACTTCAGATAAACTTGTACCTATCTATAAATATTTTTAATACACCATACTATTTCATGAATTACATTGACGACCCCTTTCTACATACTCACCTACAAGCGATCAAGAGTCAAACAACTTATTTCAGTGTTTCAATCAAAACATCATAACACATCATTCACATAATATGTGAAAAAGCCAAAAAAAAAAAATATTATCTGAAGTTATAATCGAATCCAAAATCAAATCAAGTTTAACTGCTACAAAAGCTTACAAATTGTTTCTAAACTAATCCGTCACATATTGCCGTGGGTCAAGATTCATCAGCAACATGATCATCTTCTCTTATATCGATCATTAGCGTCAACTCCAACATCATCATCAACTGCAGTAATAACGATTAAAAACGCGAATGCCACAGATACAAGAAGAATTTCCAAATATATATTTTTTGAAATAAAAATTTACATATTTCGTGGATAAAAATCTCACAACTTTACGTTTACCCAATATTTATGAATGAATGAGCTAAGTTTTTTTTCGTGTGTGTCCCTTTTTTTGAAGATTTCCAGTTTCTAAGATGATATAACAGTTTTATTTGTAAATTGTTATTTTAACGTTTTGTTGTTGTAGCAGTTATTGTTGTTGTTGTTGTTGATTCGGAATTACATAATAATGCTTAGTTTATAATTAATTTTAACAAATCAAAATATTCAAATTATTACAAATTATATATATAGCATCTGAGATTTTCTGTACAGTGGAGCAAATATTATGTCTTGGAGTTAAAAATTTTATTGCTATGTGAAAATTAATTGCGCTTGTAAATAATAATAAAATGTTATAAACTTTATATTAACTAATAAATTAGTAATCATAAATCTATTATGTAATAATAACTAACTACAAAATTTTGGTCCAGTACCAAAATAGTTTGGGTCCAAAAATTGAAGGTGCAGCAGTTTTTATAGCTAATTTAATTGTCAAATTTTAATTTTTTATTATATGCTATAAAGAAATATATTTACATTTACTCGGGTTTAATTTACTTCTATTAATTTTCTAGTAAAAATTTCTATTAATAGGAAAAGCAAATTTTCCTTTCACTTAAAAAAATACTCTGGGGATATTACAAATATGAGAATCTTATAATTACTAACTAGAAAAGTAAGCTGAAATTATAATAACAAATATACAAACATTATATATAACAATTATAACAAATATTAATATAAAAATATTAAACCTTGCAGACCTATGCTCCTTCTAGGAATTCAAGGAATTTATACTTAAAAATGCAATCCAACACTTATCTTTTAGTGGTGAATTATCTCTGCTATAAGTTCGCTAAGTATCTTACATTGTGACCGAAAAGTTTCCGGTCATAAATAAATAAAACGCAAAATTCTTAATCTTCATCAATATTTATTTTATCTCTTTCAAAATATGCTCCATTAGAAGCGATACACAAATGCCAACGTTTCTTCCAATCATCAAAACATTTTTTATAGGCGCTTTCCGGTATGGCTTTGAGTTCCCTCTGCGAATTCTGTTTTACGTCTTCTATGGATTCAAAACGCGTTCCTCTGAGTGGTAATTTGAGGTTGGGAAACAGGAAAAAGTCACACGGTGCAAGATCAGGTGAATACGGTGGCTGTTCGATGGTATTTATTGAATGTTTGGCCTTAAAATCGTTGATAATGTTGAACAAATTGAGGTGAATCGGAACAAGCCGGGCGTTGACACGTCGCATACACAAATTGTCCACCAAAATCAAACGAGCCATCTCACGACCGATGCCTAGCTCTCGTGCTATCTCTCTAACACTCACATGAGGATTTTTGAACACGATTTCCTTTGCCTTTTCAATGTTTTCGTCGGTGGTAGAGGTCGAAGGTCGTCCAGAACGCGGCATGTCTTCGACGGTCGTACGACAGTCCTGAAAGGCTTTGTACCACTCATAAACTTGAGTTTTCGATAAAACTGATTCCCCATAAGCCTTTTGTAGCATTCGCAACGATTCTGCACACGAAATTTCGTTCGAAAAACAAAATTTGATGCAAACTCTTTGTTCAATATTTTTTTCCATTGTTTTTTTCGCAACGCACTACTGAGGTGAACTGGTTTCAACAGCTGCCGTAAACGAACTGTCCGACAGATCGCGCTCATTTTTGGCATAATAATTAAGGACAGTGCTGCCAAACTACATAAACTTAAAATATCGAAAAATATACAGCGCGCGAATTTTAAATGAGAACCTCCGAAAACCTTTCGGTCACAATGTATTATCTTTTATTAATAGTAAGACTCCAAGGATATTATAAAATAAAATATATATACCATTTCATAATATATTGTATATATATCTGGGAAAAATAAAAATTATAATTAAGAAACGTATGACTAATATTCAATAATTTTTAAAATGTTTTACTATCCATTCAATTATTATAAGGAATATTACTTAATTATTTTAAGTTCATATAAACGAATGCACTATAAAATAATATTAATATATAAGAGTAGAGCATATATGTTGAACATAAAATATCCAACATAATAACGCACCGTCGTACATATCACATATAGGTCGTGTGCGAGTTAGGCTAAGTTGATGCTAAACCAAATGGGAGATTTTTTGGGATTTTTTGCACTGCACACATTTAGCCATTTATCAACACGTATCGACACATCACCACATTATCGGCTCATCTTAGAATTTCCCTCATTTAGAACGCAACTTAGCCTAACTCGCACACGTCCATAATTTTGTATATTTGTTTTGTGCCCAAACGTCGAGCCACTCAAAACTAATTTGATTCTTACCAAATTATGGTAAAGAGAGCAGGGCGGTGACAAGCCCCTAGTTTAGTTTTGAAAGGCTGGAAGTTTGGGCATAAACTTCTCCAGTCCTCCAGTCGCCCAATTAGTATTTTATTTTAAAATTATTTAGTTTGATCATAGTAATAAATAGTGATTAGGTCCGGATGCAATAGAATATAACGTCATGGATTAACGTTTGAAATGTTTATACTTACTTATTTGGAAATAACAACCAGTTACCGGGTTTCGGATTGATGCAGCATTTCTCTCCAGGCAGCTTTGCTGCGTTCGCATCTTCTTCAATCTCTGTTCACGGTTTCGCATACGGTGTGATAAGGGAGTTGTACAAAATTTCGTATTACGTCTTTGGCAATTATTCCAAAGATAAGTCGTTCATGCCAGGCAAGGTACTTCAATGGTTCCAAATAAGCTCCAAATAAGGTTGACGTATATTGGTATGGTTTTTGGTTATAAGTAATTTAGTTTCAAAACTGCATCGAGTATAGAAAACGTTAGCATATGTTACTGTAGCGTATCCAAATCTGGTATGAACACTATTACGGCTAACACTATTGAACAAATTACTAGTCGGGTAATACTTATACAGAAAGTGTAGAATTTACAATTTTTCTGAACTATAACTGAAACCTTTATAGAGATATACTTACTTTTGATTGTTTCAGTGATCTCTATTTGACAACGCGATTAGATTGAGTAAACCGTTGTATGAAAATTTAGTGAAAACAGTGACAGATTTTTAAATAATATCGTATATCGTAATATCTTTAGTTTACAAATGCTCTCAATATTTATTAGTAGGCTCAGTGGAAGATTACTTATTCAATGTAGGTTTTCAAAAATATTAGCAGTAAATGTAAACCGTTTACATCATTAAAATAATTGATATGTAAAAAATTTTTATTTGATTATGTATTTACATATAAACAATAACATATTTCAATAATTCCCTTATTATTTTTATAGCTTAATAAAATTGCTATTATTAAAAAATATTCCCATGAATATTTTAATTTTTAGTACCTCAATTATTTTTTATGTTGATTTTTGTTTATTGCAATAAAAGAGATTTAACCAATCGTAAATCTTCCAATTGAGATGCGTAAGCGTATCTAATTCAATAATGAGCCAGATTTGTTTACAAATAGATCAATTTATGCATGATAAATGTAATGCCTCTCACTTCTTTGTTAATAACATTTACCCACTGTGCCGATAGACAATCAAAGATAACAATGTAACGTAATAAGTGTTGATAATATGTACGCCAATACACCGACTGCGTCGATCGAATGTGCAGTCGATGGGGCGCTCTGGTAATAATTGATGTTTTGTTTTGACCCAAAATGGAAACACGTTTGGCGACAGTTTAATCATCCATTTCTTGGCTTGAATAGATTTGCTCGCAACACAATAAAATTAAATAGAAAAATTTTGTGTTTGAACAGAGTTAAAACCGGCAACAAATCAACAAATTGAATGATTAAAACAAATTCGGTCATCTGGGAATTGGAGGAAAGAGCAGACGCAGCTACAGCCGCAGACGCAGCAGAAGACCGCTAATGTTGTTTAGCAGTAGTTACAAATATTTTTCAGTTTATAATTTAAAATATGCAAAAATCCGAATTATTTTACGGATTGTGTTTTTATACACTTTTGTTATAAAGTCAACTTATATATGATTTCGATGTTGGAAGCTGGAAACAACAAATTTTGAAATACGGTTTTTTAAAAGATTTGAGTGTGAGGTAACAGACGCACGAACTGGAATCCACGCGCGTACGCAAACAATGAGGGAAGGCAGTGCTTCTCTTTTGCAATTAAAGATTATGTTGGCTAAGAAATGAAAAAATATGAAGAGCCCTTGACACGAGTATATAAGTAAAAGAAATGATAGAAAGTGTTATCATTTGCGTTGGATACACTCAACCGTTAAGGTCAGACATAGTCAGTCATAACTGGGATTAAATAACAGACCTGACAAAATGAAAGTAAGTATTTCGTTCAATATATCTCGAAAACTTCGGTGATGTCAAATATATTAAAAAATGTTAATAAATTTTTTAGTTTTTCCTTTGCCTATTTGCATTGATTTGTGCATGCAATGCTACGTTGCTTTCCTTGCTGGGCGGTGGCGGAGGAGGTGGTGGTGGCTCAACAACTACATACGATGTAGTAGCTAGACCGAGTCATGGAGGAGTAGGTGGACATGGTGGTCATGGTGGTCACGGTGGACACGGTGGTGTAGGAATTAGTGGCGGTCATGGCAGTTATGGTGGTCATGGTGGTCATGGAAGCTACGGAGGTGGCCACGTTGCTGCAGCTCCACAAGTTGTTAAAGTAATACTTTCACAAGGTCAAGGTTACTCCGGTGGCGGCAGTGTTGGTGGCAGCATTGGAGGCGGTTATAGTCATGGTGGTGATAGTTATGCTGGTGGCCACGGTTATGCTGGAGGTCATAGTTATGGTGGTGCTTCGGCTGGTGGCTATACACAAGTGTATAAAGTTATCGAGGAAACTGCACCCGCAACTGGTATCGCATACTCTAGTGGTGGCTCCTATGGCGGCAGCTATGGTGGTGGTCATTCTGTTGGCGGTTCTTATGCTTCTGGACACTCTTATGGTTCCCATGGTATCTCTTCGCAATTAGATGCTATTTTACCACAAATTTTACAAATAGTGTTACAAGATAATGCCTATGGCGGTGGGGATGATGGGGCTTTCAATGCCCAATTGATTGATCATTTTGGACTAAAGGGTAAAGCCACTGTAATGCGTAGCAAAGGAGCTCAAAGCAGTTATTTCAAGGGTGGACATGTAGTGCAAAAGGGTACTTTACAAGTTACAAGAGTAGAAAACAATGGTGGTTCAGTACAAGGTGGTGGTCATGGAGCCCATGGTGGTTCCGGTGGTATTGGACAAAGTCATGGTCATGGCTCATATGGACCACCTGCACATCCGCCACATCCACCAGTCAGCAGTTGGTAGTTGCGTAGCATATATTATGCATGTGATTTTAGTTCGTAATTTAGGCTGATTTAAATTGATAGCAGATAATTTTAGTTATAAGCGTTTTCATAAAGCATTCATTTTTTTATTTACAAAAAAATGCTCACTGTTCACATACTTAAATTATTTGTTAGTTCTAGCAATAAAACAAAATTATATCTACATTTTACTGGACGTTTTTAAATACTTGAATTAATTAAAATGCAATGAATTGAATCGATTACTAAACAGGAACTGAGGTTAATCACGTTATTGGAAATTGAAGTCATATTTTTATGATTTAGGCATATTTAAATAATAATAAACTATAGCTGAAGTAATATATAGCCCACTGACTTATACACAGATTAGAAGTACATAACCTATTGTATATATTTCATAGAAAGACTACCAACGACGTTGGCATACTAACTAATATGTGCAAGTAAAATCCAACTTCCCACGTATTCTTGTGGAAGATAACTCGATCTGTAAAAAATTGATGGCAAAACTAGAGCTATGTATAAGGAAAAGTTAATGTTAAAATGATTTTCAATATGTACTATAAGAAAATCTATTGCCTACGTGTGTGTGGTATATAAAATCAAGAACTTCCTCATTCAGGCGATAATTAGATTTCAAATTCTTCAACGAAATACCAGTATTTTCTCTTGACTAAATTACATTAATGTAGCTTAAAAGCAGTAATATTATTAGGATCAACTAAGGATCAGATGCTGATACCTTTCGACTTTGTGAACTAAGTAAAAGTAAAATATAACAAAATACTTTGATAGTGAACAAGTTAAACTATTTACTCTTAATTTGCAAGATATTAGCATACCACGGCTACATGGGTGCCATTAGTAATTTTGGATTACGAGAAATGAAAGAATTTTATAATTTGATACCCATTTCACACAGATAGGGTTTCGGAGATCACAAATACATGCAATTGTGTTTTATTATCATATTCGTTAGTTGTAAAGTTCCTACACCAGTACAGTTTTTTATCTATTAATTTTTAACTATAGATGTGAATATTTTGTACATATTTTTGTTTAAAGAGTGCAGCCAGATAATTAGACTAGCACTACTTTATGGGTGTGTCGCATATAGCAAAATTGCCGACTCTACTACCCAAAAGCTATAAGTTGCTCAAAATCAGGCTGTCCGAAGGCTCTTTAAAGTACCATGGTACATCCGCACGAATGTCATGCTAAGAGATCTTAGAATAGATCCGGTCAAAAATACATAAGGGACAGAACTCTGAAGCTATATGCGAAAACCGACAGGCTGCCCTACTTAGCACTATCTAATCTCAGAGTAATCACTAACCGCAAGGGGCGGTACGCATATCTTAGATCAATCATTGATTAATAACGAAGATTATGAGGAATACGCAAATTAGTCAGTGAGATGGGCGGGTAAAAGTGCCCAGATGCACTAACTCGGAAAAGGCTTAACATAACATAACTATATGTAAAAGAATATATTAGTATATAGTTCGTTTCTGTAAATTCGCACACTAGAATTTAGAATTACAGTTTTGTAAATCAAATGCAATAAATATTCCGCCAGGAAGATATACTCAAACTATACTTGTGTAGATCCACCTGATATCTTATTATTAGAATTCAATGGAACTCTTGTTACAGTGCATCTTCTAATTAGTCACAGACACTGTTGAGTGAAAGAGGGTTAGAAACTTACTCGCGTTTCATCAAACAAAGATTACAAATCTGTGAATAAATTCTGACTAACCAAGAGAACAGATGTCAAAATATCTTTTAATTTTTTAATTTGTATACTATGGACGCTATAGTCTTACGTTATGTACCTGACTTAAATTTGCAGAATTTAACAAAGGAATGTTTAGTGCATGCAAGGATAGTATTATACTTGCAGTTATTAAGGCCCATATTGTTTATGAAATTGAATATCGTAATTATTAATAACTGTAGTAAAAAAACAATTTTGCTTCGAAAGAAATCCTGGGCAAAATATTGCATATGCTCGTATATTACTGTACATTTTTCAGGTACAATTATAATACAATAGATAATAATGACTTACAATAGATAGGAAGTGTTATAACTCAGTATGCAGATTTAATAATCATTGTTGCAAGCAGATGTTGAAATTGATTGATACAGAATTTAATTACTATATCTTCCAACTTTAAAGAAGAGTCGAGTGTTTTTATTATTTCTAGTGTTTCTATTATTTTGGCAATAGTCAAAACTGCTAAGAAAGCATCACTAATATTATTGAAAATAATAATATTAGATTGTGTTAGATTATTTTGAAAATCTATAAAAATATTTTGGATTTAATGGATTTAAAAATGTACTTTTATAGAAAATAATTAGTTTAATAATAGGAGCTTGACAAAATAACTATATGAAAAAAATTGACTAAAGACTTATATAGTAAATGATTAGTTTAATAATAGAGGATTGACAAAATAACTATATAAAAGCGATCAAAAGAAATTCGGAAAATTAAAGAATCACTCATTGTTATAGTTAACAGAAACAATAGAAAAACATATTAAAAATCAAATTAAGCACAAAAAAATCAAAATCAAATTAAAAACCATGCTTCCGAAAGATTGACGTCAACCCGGGACTTATGGGACTTTTTATATATTTTTATTTATTTATTTTATTTAACTAAAATTTTAATATTTTTTTAAAATTAATGTATTGACAATTATCGGATGTCAAAACATGGGTTTAGTTATAGCAAGATTGCAAGCAATTGGAAAAAAATACTTTGTGCGTATATTTTGTTGCTGTCCAATACAAGCTCCCCCAATTTATGCATTTCGTGCACCTTGTAATGGAGTTTGCAAGACAGAGTAAATACGAGTACCGCTGTTATATTACAATGGAATACTTGTTTCAGTGGATCACCCAAGTGATCGCAGACGTTTTTGAGTAAAAGTGCTCGTATGTTATCAAGCAAAGAAGAAGAAAAAGGTAGTTATAAAGTTATATAATAAACTAATTTAGCATAAGTATTTGCAGAGAATTCTTAGAATGCAATCTATTCGAATGGGTGATAAATAGTTCATAAAGGTGTTTTAGAATAATTTACTCCTTTTAGTCCCCTAAAATAGTTTTTCAAAGCTTGCAGAAAGTTTAAGATAAATAAACTATACAGGAGGTGTCTTGAAGAGAAAAAGAGGATTTTGAATACTGAAAATAAAAAAATGCTGTTTCTATAGATAACAGATTTTTACTAATTAACTTTCTGTTAAGAATAAAGTTTTGACTATATAGAATCTTAAGTGTTTGAGCATCCTAATTAAGCTAACCCGAAAAACGTAAATCAACAAACTGTATACCTATGCTCCTAACTAATAAAAAATGATCTCAAGCTTTGTCTGTAAGATATGCGTAAAATATGATATTTAAATGAAATAAAAAACCACACAATGAGCCGAACTAATTAACATATTTATAACGCATTTTTGAAATACGCGCGTAGGTTACAAGCTTTATTAGGAAACTGGGTGTGAAGAAATATGTGATGTACATGTGTTAAACTCAAATATCTTTGTATATTTGATGTAACTAACTTATAAGATCAGCAACTACAATAATAACACAATATTTTAGCTAATGCAGTTTAAATATATGCAAATGCTGAAAATGCAATAAACAAAGTTTTAAGTTTTCATGCGAACGCCTTTGATAACGCAAAGAATGCGTGAAAAGTATGCAACGCAAACGAGTTTCGGATTGATAGAGTTTTGCATTTATTGGCTTATCGAATTTGTTGCATTTCAATTAAATGAATTCCGTATAAAAGCTTGTGTCCAAAATTGAGTTGATATCATTTGACTTTTGGACATTTTCCCTTCAACTTCGACCCTAAGCAGTAGAGGTGAAAAATGAAGGTAAGCAATCATGGATGGTGGACTTATGGATTGGTTATAGTAATTAATTGAATTAATTTATTTTCAGTTGTTCGTATGCTTGAGTGCCTTGTTGGCTGTAACAAATGCAGGATTTCTTGGTTTAGTGGGAGGTGGTGGACGTTCTGGAGGACTTGGTGGTGGATTAATTGGCGGTGGTGGAGGTGGTGGCCACGGTGGTGGTCACGGTGGTGGTTATGGAGGCGGACATGGTGGCGGTTACGGTGGTGGCCATGGTGGCGGTCACGGTGGCGGACATGGCGGAGGTCCAGTTCAAGTTGTCAAAGTAATTCATCAACAAGGAGATGGAGGTATTGGGGGAGGAATTGGGGGAGGAATTGGCGGAGGAATTGGCGGAGGAATTGGCGGAGGTCATGGCGGTCTAGGAGGTGGTGGCGGTGGTGGTGGTGGTGGCGCACAAATTTACAAAGTTCACGTATCTAGCGTTGGAGGCGGCCACGGTGGTGGACATGGTGGTGGACATGGTGGTGGTATTGGCGGTGGTATTGGCGGTGGTATTGGCGGTGGTGTTGGAGGTGGTCATGGCGGCGGTGGTGGCGGTGGTGTTAATGTTATTAAAGTAATACACCAAGAAGAAGGTGGTCATGGTGGTATTGGAGGCGGCATTGGAGGTGGTATTGGCGGTGGTATTGGAGGAGGTCATGGTGATATTGGAGGTGGTGCTGGTGGCGGTGCCGTCAATGTTATTAAAGTTATACATCAACAAGAAGGTGGACATGGTGGAATCGGAGGCGGTATTGGCGGTGGTCACGGTGGTGGCATTGGCGGTGGAATTGGTGGTGGAATTGGCGGAGGAGTTGGCGGCGGTGCTGTTAATGTTATTAAAGTAGTACATCAACATGAAGGTGGTCATGGCGGTATTGGAGGTGGTATTGGCGGTGGTGTTGGTGGTGGTCATGGTGGTGGCATTGGCGGCGGTGCTGTTAATGTTATTAAAGTAGTACATCAAGAAGAAGGTGGTCATGGTGATATTGGTGGAGGTATTGGCGGCGGTTTTGACGGCGGTATTGGCGGCGGTATTGGCGGCGGTATTGGTGGCGGTATTGGTGGCGGAGCTCCACAAGTTATAAATGTCATTCATGAACATGCTGCAAGTGGTTCTGCTCATGGTGGAGCTGCACATGGTGGTGCTGCTGTTGCTGCACCACAAGTCATCAATGTTGTACATCACCAAGCTTCAGCTGGTGCTTCTGCTTCTGCTCATGGCAGTAGCCATGGTTCCATCGGTCATGTTGCCCCTGCTCCTCAAGTTATTAAAGTCATACATGAACATGGAGCTTCATCTGGGCATGTAAGTCAAGGTCATAGTCACGGAAGTCATGGTGGTCATGTAAGTCATGGTGGTCACGGTGGCCACGCTGCTGTTGGTTTGCCAGCACCACAAGTAAGCGCTCCAGCTAAGGTTATTCGTGTTATACATGAACACACAACTTCATCCGCATCATCTTCTGCAGTTGCTGCTCCCGCATATGCTTCAATTCCAGCACCTGCACCTGCCCCTGCCCCTGCACCAGCACCTGTATATCATGCTGAACTTTCACCACAAATTGCTGGACCATCATCTCAGTATTTACCACCAGAACCAGCACCAGCAGCTCATTTGCCTGCTCAAACATATGGTCCATCACAACAGTGGTAAACAATATCCTCTATTAAATAATGAGACTGCCTAAACTAGTTAAACTGATAAACTAGTAAAAATGTACAAACCCACAACCTGCATACATGTTATTTCTAAGTCATTAATATCTATTTCTATTTCATGCGAAATGAACTCTATTTTACTTTTTTACACAATAAAAATGAAACTTAGTTTCTATAAAATTTTTTAAATTAAAACTTGCTTTTTTATAATAAAACATTATATAGCATATCACGTCTATCACAAAATATTTACTAAGGAGCTGATAATTCTCTTCTAATATGTTAAGTTAACAGTATTAGGTACTTTTTTTGTAAATAATTGTTTTCTTTATTGAAACTTTTGTAAACTGTTTGTTCATAACATGTATTCCTGATACCTCTCATTTTCAATAATTTGAAAAAAGTATATAATATGCTGAACAGTTTAATATTGGTGTTGTTTAACCAAATAATCAAACCCACTAGTTTTTATATAACAGATTAAGAAATGTGAAATCTCTATATTTTTGTTCACTAAATCTAAGATTGTATGACGCTGCAAAAATCCCGTAGCAGTCTTATGTCTTATGTTGAGCCTTTTCCGAGTTAGTGCATCTGGACACTTTTAATCTATGATGGCTAGGGAGTTTCTGCAGAGTCCTACCCATCTCACTGACTAATTTGAGTATTCCTCATAAACTTCGTTATTATTCAATGATGGATCTAAGATCTGCGTACCGCGCTGTGTGGTTAGTGATTACTCTGAGATTAGACAGTGCTAAGTAGGACAGCCTGCATATAGCTTCATTGTTCTGTCCCTTATGTATTTTTTGACCGGAAGAAAATCTTTTTAGCTTATAAAAATAAAGTAAAGTGAATGCCTTTAACACCTAAAATCGGTAGCAGTACTTAGATATAGAGAATTTAAATGTAATTAAGAAGTGTTAGATCTATATCAGATTCCTCGGATAATCCAAAGAGAAACGTCTAAATAACAATGAAAATGTTGATGTGAAAACATCTAAACTCAAAGTAATTATTGGCTACCTACTAGACATGTTTTCCCGAATTAGAATATTTTTTTAAAGTTAGTGTCAACGGAGTCTGAAGACTGCATACTTTCTGAAACTAAAAGTAAAGCATATACTCATCTTTTTTAATATGTTGCAATTATCAGCGAACAGGTCTAAAACATTCATTTAGATTTCATTTAACCGAAGCAGATATAAGCATCTCAATTAAAAGGACTAATAGCTTTAAACTTGTATATTTAGATTTGCGTGAATCAGATTTCTTGGGTGCACTGATTTGAAAACGCATTTTATAACACTAGGCTATTTTGAGCAACTTTTCTCAAAATATCTTATATGCGGATAAGGTTCACCTACAACTCTTAAGATAACTACTTCATAAATTCTCTAAGTACAATATTATTGTACTATTCTCTAAGTAATGAGATGGTTATTGCCAACAATTGATAATTAAATAACTCATTTATATAAAGAGGTTTTCGAACAGAAGTGAAACAACAACAAAAATTTATTTTTTTAAATTATTTTAATTAATTGAATTTTTGGCTGACCATACAGCTGTTTCGAGTATTGCCAAATACCCTTCATCAGTGGTCTTGGAAATAATTCTTATATTTAATTATTCGTATATAATTATTTTTGAGACTGCAAGTACCAGGAATCGAACTCGGGTCCTGCCAAATATAACTCATTTATTCAATAAACGTTATATATGCAATTATATATTATTGGCATTTACCAATGCGTTGAAACTAAAATATAATAAATATTTTTTAAAGTCATATTAGTATTTTGAAGAATTATTGCTATAATTAATCTATTAAGAATTCTATTAAACTGTGTTAGCTTGTAGTTACTTTAAATGTTTTATTTTTTAATATTGTCAACCTTTTTATGGATAACTTACTTTATTAAATTTTTACAAAATAATTAATTTTAAGTCCAAACTAAATTTGATATCTTTAAAATTTAGTGTTTGTGTAATAAAAATATTTTTACATTTCAATACAACTAAAACAAAAGATATTTCTTTAAAAACTATAGGCACTTCAAAGCTTTCTCTCGTGTAGCAGAACAAGTTTTGATCGAATTCAAATCAAATTAGTAACATGTTTTTACATCCAACATTGAGTAGCTTAAACTTGACCTTAGTCTATGTCTATGTTCAATTCGTAAGTAAAAGATATAAATTTTATTATAAAACGTAACTTGAAATTATGACATCAAGAAAAATGCCGCACTGCATTTACATATTACAACTGTTGCAACCTATGTGTTCAACTTGATAAACAGCCTCAGATAATCGGAGACATTTTGGCGTCCGACACATGTACAAGTAGATGTATATGTGATGTGACATAATATGGAAAATGGTTTCGAATAAAAAACATACACAGTTTTGTATCTTAAATTAATTTTTCAAATTGTTTATTTTCTTTGTAATTGTTTTTGAATTCGGTAGTTGTAAACCAAATACAAGTAAATAATTTTTTTGTATTTTTCATATTTTCATATTCGAAATACAAATTTAATTAATAACACCGGAATTTGAAATTAAATATTTAATTGGTTTATTCGGCAGCTTTAACAAGAGCTTCAGCACACTCAACAGCAATGGCAGCTTCGGCTTTAGCCTATAAAAATAATATAATACTGCTTTTAGTATAAATGTATGATAGTATGACAATATTTATATACCTCATCAGTACTGGCGGAGTTCAATTGTGATTGGTATTTTGATAACAATTGTCTTGCTTCTGCGATATCAATATCTCCGATATTGTGTGCTTCTTCAGCTAAAACTTGCACTGAGGAGTCCTCATTAACAGTAATGGAACCACTTGAAACGAAGAACTTTTCGGCTTTTCCGTCTTTCTCGATGACTTGGACAACACCAGGTTTTAAGGTAGCTGTAAGATAAAACAAAATAATAGATATATTGAAATATTAAAGCATAATTGCAGTGTTTTTTTAAACAATTTAATCATATGAATTTTATGAAATATTTGAATTCAAGTTCCTATGAATTAAGATTAGTTACGACATAATAGCTTTTTTCTTGTGTTAAAAGAAACGATTCCAAATTTTGACAACCTAAAACTATTGTAGAAGTAATTGATCAATATGCATACATGTAGGTTAAAACTAATAATAAGTTGTAGAACCAAATTATGATATTAATGATAACTTAAAACAATTTAAAACCAACATCTTAAAACTTCAAGATAAAATAGGGATATTATAATTGAAGTTATATCTATAAATAAAGGTATATATTTCTATATTTATTGCTTTCTTCATGGTATATATAAACAATATACGAAATAACCACAACGGTGAATATTATTGACTGTAACACAAACAGATAAAAACCAAAAAGCCATTAAAAATAAGACATCAGACATAATATCGCAGAAGAATATAATTATAATAACAAAGGAATTATATTTTATAGCTAATATACCTAGACTGGACAGCAGAATGAATCTTATTAGCAGAGAAAAATAATACTGCATAAAACGTTTTATTACTAGAGAGGTTCTTCTAGACAAAACATAGCAATTCTTTATTATATTGAATATATGACCTATTATCTGATTAGAGCTCCCCTTCTAATGGTTTATTTTAGAGACGGTTGTTTTATGATATATGTATTCTTGTTGATTTTAACAAATTTTTCTTTAAGAATTATAAGGGCTCCGCTTTTTGCCAAGGTTGGACATCTTAATAATATTAATAACAGGTGAGGACTTCATAATTTTTAATTTTTCTGTTGGCAAAACATTCTGAGGCTGTGAAGTTCTACTATTAAATTGTTGGTAAACAATTCATTGAAATTGGCGCTAAGGAATACGATAAACCCTTTACAAGACATATAGATGAGGTATATCGCAATATAATGTCAGATAATGGTTCGTTTTAATTTTAAAATGTTAGATGTAAAAAATACGGATATGTCCATATATCACTAAAAACGTGAATGAAATTTTCAGAATAACACTGTTAAGGAACCAGAAATCAAACACAATACACTATAAAAAGAAATTTGATTTTTAGGTCCTTCTTGGACTGAATTTTCATCTAAGAATTACTGTTAAAATATATTATAATATGTGATGAAAAATGGATCATATACCATTATGATATATAAAACCATTCTAACAGATGAAATATGAAGCTCATAAACTATCGCAAAGTCAAGAACGAACTATGACATGGACTAGGATATTGGGTGTTTTGTGGGTCTGCAGTTGTAACATTTCCTATGAACTACTACAGCTTGATGGAATGATTTAATTAAAAAAGTGAGCTGTATTTCAATTTTTAAAATTGTTTTTCAATTAAAACGTCTTAAATTTTGATTTAAATCGCTGAGGTGATTTAATTAAAAAAGTGAGCTGTATTTCAATTTTTAAAATTGTTTTTCAATTAAAAAGTCTTTAATTTTGATTTAAATCGCTGAGGTCTTTTTATATATGCATTTCATAAAGGCTTTGTATTTCAGCAAAATTTTTCTAACACAAATATCCTACAAAAAATGACTTAATTTTTTATATAAGTTATTTTTAATATATTTTACATATATAAAATGTATATATAAATTTTTAAAGGCAAAGGTTCATTTCTATATACATATCACCAAAAGGAACTACCTGAATTCGACCTGTTACATATGAATTGAACTTGTTTTCAGTTTTAAATGGATTTTAATCATGATAAACTTCAAGGACGTGAAGTGCCCTCTTCTTTTGTCCCCTTTGTTTAAAATTTTGTTTTTCAGCTTAGATAAACATATGTTAAATTGTTGTTTATTTTGCGAAAATTAGGCAATTTAAAAATATTATTCGTGGTATTCGAATTTTCGAACATTTTTAAATGCAATAAATTAATTTTTTTTTAAATGTAAACATTTTATGTTGGTAGGGAAGATAATTTATAAGAAAATCAATTTAGAAAGGAGTACAGTCTTCCAGCTATAATAGGTATGGAGTACTATTGATGTAATATTAAATATAGTAAAAGTATTAAAATGGTATTAATATTATAGTAATAATATTAAAGAAATATTAACTATTAGACGTATTTTAATCGAATGTAGATATTTATAGTAAAGTATTTTATTATTTTAATATTAATTTATTCTTTTAGCCTTTATCAATATTTTTATTTTTGAAGCATTATTAAATTGTTGAACAGAATTTAATCAAAGTTTCTTAAAACATACTTAGATATACGTTTATCGGATCTCTTTGCTAGTCGTTTAAACTAATAGACAGTACCTTGAGATCCTGGTTCTAGATGAATCTAAAAGATTATTGGAAGAACAATATATATATATGTATATAAGTAAAATATTTTACTTGATTTTAGATAAAAAATTGATATTGATTTTGAAATTATTCTTAAATATATTTTGGAATATGATAGTTGTACAATAAAACAATCGATCCAAGTAGATTCTAATTTTTCTAATGTCTTTTTTAGCCTAGTCTAATAATCAATTTATTGGGTTATAGACAATTAGATTAAGACTTATTTAACTACAATGTGATAATTTATACAAAGAATAACATATTTTATCATTAAGATATAATATTGAGAACCAATATCATTCATGGAAAATATTAGAACATATTTTGACGAATATTCGTTCTAAGTTCGTTTGTAATTAAAAGTGTAGTTTTTTAAACAAAAAAAAATCTAAACGTGTAAAAGTTCAGAAAAAAATAATAAGTCAATAGCAAAAATAAGCAAACGTTAAACAAATAAAGTAGTAAAATTCATAGTTGTTGGATCAAAAACTAATCAAAAGTTAAAGATTGGATTTAAATAAAATAAAGTAAAATTATAATTATATTATTAAATTAAGAATATACATCAAATATCGACCAAAATTAAAAAAAATTAGTCTTTAATGATAAATACTTAATACTTATTATATATGTTAAACATTATTCATGTCACGTATACCAAAAATATGTCATATATTGTGAATAATTAGCTCTACCAATTTGAGTTCCAGTAACGGATATATATAATCTTATGTAAATATCAAGGACAAAGTGTTGTGCATCCTTTTCATCAGGGACAGAATAGCTCGCTTGTTTAAGTTACAACAGCAGCAACTTTGAGTACTAACTCAGGATATCTATTTTGGGTATGTGTATATTAAATGAATTATAATATGAATACAATATATATTTGTTTTTAGATATATATATATATGGACGTTTGAGTATTTCTGACATTAAGTGATGTTTGCTTAGATTCAACTACAATTATTATATTTAATGCAATGTTAACCAATCCTTAAAATCTCAATTATCGCTTATTTTATTCATTTTTTGAGCAGTATTTACTTTGTCATTGTGTTATATTGTTTTAAAATATAATTTTAGTAATTGTAATTTAGTCTTTATACAAATAGATATTTACCTAGGGTTGGTACGTGCTTAGCAAGAATACCAAAGCTACCACTGAAAGAGGGGACATCTATTTGACGTACTTCAGCATCAGCATAAAATGTTTTGTTTGCTGCAGCGAATGTAAGTTTCATTTCATCGGAATAACCACGAGTTTGAACCATACGAACACCGCGGGTAGCTAAGATACGCGCATTCTTCACAAATGACATCTTGTACTACAAAAACAAAAAAATAATAATTGGGTACTTTGTTTTACATAAAAAATAACATCTAATTTTACTCAATATTTTCAATTTTTACAACAAAATTATATAACTTTGTAGGTTAGACTATATGTGCAGGTACTTAGGTAACGAGTTAAACTATGTACGACGCGCTACAATTTCTCCATGAAAATTTTACTAATTCTTATAATTTTACCTGTTATTAAAATAACGCTCAAAATTCAAAGAAAATATAATTGATTTGAGCACAACCCGCACTAGATCTCGATGTCCACCAAAAAACCGAAATGTTAGTGGCAGGCAGAAATTAATTTATGAGTTAAAATGTCAGTTTGACATAAATGTTATTTGCATGTGTGTGTGAACATATGTATTAGTTAATGCTGCCAGTATTAAATACTCCATAGCAGAAGTCTATTTAAATTAGACGTAAATTTATTTGAATGAACCAGATCCTTTTTGACTTCCGCATGGAACAGTTCGTCCTATTATTAAGTGAAATTTAAATATAATATTAATTTAAAAAATTAAAGTCTTCTAATTTGTTTAAAATAATAATAAGTGCCGTTTAAAATACGTACAAAAAAGTTTAAATATTTAACGCGATGTGGCGTTACGAACGTTTTTGGTGAAATGCTGCTTTTGAACAATAAATATTAAAAATATTTAATTCCATATAAACATTATTGATATAAATTTGCTGTGAATAACTAATACATGACAGTTGTGTGTTATAAAAAAAATTGTATTAAATAAAACTGTAAAGTGTGAAATTTGTTTGAAATTTTTAACGGGCATTTTTCCCTCCAACGCCGACAGAATTCGCTCTATCAACTGTCAAAAGTAGTCAGAAGTACTGCGTCAAGTTCATTTAGTTGGTACGGTTTTTCATGTAGTATCGGCATGCCAATTTTAAACTAATTAAGTAATACGGATATTTAATATAAAATTTAAAGAATTAAAATATAAGTTGAAGTTTTCTATTAACTACGTTTGCCGTAATAAATTTAAATATAAGTGTGTTAAAAATCATTGTTGGAGTTGGAAAATTGATAACGCACAAGGAAATTGAATTGGATATTACAAGATGCAGAGATTTGAACATTATTTGGAAAAATATTTCAATTTTCCATTGGATATAAAGAATGACTTGGTCTATTCCCAGCGTGCATTAAAATCACATTTGAGAGTTCTACAAGTAAGTTCAACATGTCCATACATACATTTTAATATACATATGTATGCTTTGTTTTCACCTAAGAATTTTGTGGAATAAATTCCATTTAATCTTAAATTTTATACTTTCAAACTAACAAAATATTATTTTAATTTGTTTCAGATGGTTATTGATGTTTTTGAGAAGCAGCCAGATGCCGTAAGTAAAAAACTAGTTTTTTCACTAAACAATATAATTTTGTAATATTTTAATAATTCATTTGCTTAGAAATGGGAATTTAAACAAAATAGAAATTGAATTAGGGAATAGTAATGGCATTTGTACCTAAAACAATTTTACGATAATTGCTTTTGTGGTGTTTCTTCCTTACATCAGTGTGCAACTTCCACAAATATATAATTTGTTCTAAGACTTAATAGCTTACAATTTATATAATAAATTAATGTAATTTATTTAATATAATTGCATCATTCAGTGGTCATTACATTGTCTCTGCCCTGGTTCAGCAAAAAATTTCAATGTCACGTCACCTACCCAAAAATCTCATTGGCAAATAAATGCTCAAAATTACCAAAAACACTTTCACTTAATTTACCAAAATCATTGAAAATTTTCATAAATCATATTGATAAGCCATTCTTACTTTTTAGTTTTACATTAACACCTGACTCATGATTTAATAAATATATTTTATTAATTTTTTATGGAATTTTTGTGCCTGGTGCTCGAATCTTGTGACTTTTGTATTTGTTTGTGTGTATGTGCGTGCATGTGCACATAAATGCTTTGTGCTCCAGTCAAGTAATGACTTTTTTATAATTTATTGTAAAAATTGATTTGATATATGAATAGCTATTATTAAATTATGTTTTTATTTAAAATTTAAAACATGCAAATGTTTTGTGTCTTAATTTTTGTCTTAATATTATTTACTGAAGTTCTTTGTCCCTGTTGCCCATTGTGTCTAGCTTTCATAAATCATTCTTACTCATATCTACTTTTGCTTGTGAGGTTAAGTTGGCTGATTAAACCACATTTACCTAAATAAAAAAGATGATATTAGCAAATTTGGAATATTTGGACATCAATTGTATTATTTTCTATTAGTATCTGTTGAATTTTAATTGTATTCTCTGAGCATGTGAAGTAATTGACACAATGAATATCTGACAAGTCAAAGGTTATTACATGTTATGTATGACGTATAATATTAACTCCGACAAATTTTTTTTTTTAAAAAATTATTTTTATAGAATTAACAATTAAATAGTAATTTTAGTAAGAAATGATAAAAATGATTTGAAGTGATATAAGTCGTTGATAATGGATTAAAAAATTAGCGCTTTAGTATCTAAAATTAACTGAGTTCTTAAAAAAAGTGTGTTGAAGCTGTGGCATAACATATATGTCATAAGTTTAAATTATGTTTCATTTATATATACATATATAAGTATTTATATATATACACACATAATTATTATATGAAGTTTAATTTTAACATCAATGCACAGATATATTTTATATTTTATATTTAATATATTTTAAATATATTTTATTATATGTAAGGTGTTAGTATTATCTAGTTAGTATTATCTATAACGTAAATATATTTTATTATATCCATGTATACATGTATGAAAGTCAATTTGAAAGTGCTGAGTGGTTATTTTCTTGAAACCCTGTGAAATGGTACAAATAATTAATTCTTAAAATTAGTTAATCAGTAATGTATAACAAGGCGAATTGGTGTAGTATTGTTTGTTTGTCTAGATATCAGGTATATACCTGATATTTATTTCCAATACAAAATATATTTCCAAACAAAACTACCATAAGTATTTGTTTTTAGATATATATATGGACGAATCATATGGAAGAAATGGTACAAATCATTATTTCTTAAAATTAGTTTATCAGTAATGTATAACAAGGCGAATTGGTGTAGTGTTGTTTGTCTGTCTGGATATTAGGTATATACAAGTCATTTCTAAACAAAGTACCATAAGTATTTGTTTTTAGATATATACATATATGGACGAAATGATACAAATTATTATTTCTTAAAATTAGTTAATCAATGTTAATCAAAGTTAATCAATGTTAATTAATGTATAACAAGGCGAATTGGTGTAGTTTGTCTGTTTGGATATAAGGTCAAGTAATTTCCAAACAAAAGTACCATAAGTATTTGTTTTTAGATATATATATGGACGAATCATATGGAAGAAATGGTACAAATCATTATTTCTTAAAATTAGTTAATCATTAATATATAACAAGGCGAATTGGTGTAGTGTTGTTTGTTTGTCTGGATATAAGATATACACAAGTCATTTCCAAACAAAAGTACCATAAGTACTGAAGGATATTTCTCGTTCCAAAAAACGAAAAAAAAAATCGTAATAGTTCTCTCTTGCGACCTCATTGTCAATATTTAGCTTAATACAAAGTGTTTAAGAAAAGTCAACACAAAAAGTCTTCAGCTAATAATTTTATACATAAATATATATACAATATATAATACAATTTAACACTTCAATTCGAAGTTAATTTTTTGGGAAATTTTCAATAATTTTTTATACATAAAGATATGCAAATATCCTCTAATTTGATACCTAATACAGTCAAATTTCATTTTTTGGGAAATTTTCAATACAATCTTATAAATTGTATTATAATCTTATAAACATAAGTATAGGATACCTAATACAATTAAAGGATACCTAATTAATTTCAAGTTAATTTTTGGGAAATTTTCAATAATTTTTTATACATAGAAATATGTAAATATCCTCTCATTTGATACATTCAGACTTTATTTCTTAGGAAATTTTCAGACTTTATTTCTTAGGAAATTTTCAATAACTTTTTATATATGTAAATATTCTCTTATGCATTCAAAGTTATTTTTATGGGATTCACAAAATTTTTCAATTATTGACATTTAAGTTTATTTTTCATGTGTCATGTAAGTTTTTTGACAAAAAGTTTTATTTGTATTAGAAATTTCTATTTCTGTTATACATCGTTTTCGTGTAGATGTCGGTTAAATCAAGAATTTACTACTTTCTCCAACAAAAATGCTTAAAATTATTTATACGGACTAAAGAACTTGCGTTGTTTTTGTTGAAGAAACTCAAACCAAAGAACAAATAGGATTAAAATATTAGTAAGATAAGTTAATATAAATATTAAGAATTTTTGGTCTTATGATTTTTTTTGGGTACTTTTTTCTATAAAAAGGTAAATTTTGTCGAGAATTTTGGGAGTGTAGCCATTTGGTGCCTATTGTAAACATTACGTTATATGCCCAACTCAAGATATCGTGGCTTAGTAGTTAATTTTTTACACTAATTACACTAACAAAAGCTATACATATCATCTAACACCAACTGGTATATCCAATCAGTATTAAAAGGAATAGTAGATATTTATGCACATATATATTTTATAAATATTTGAAACTTCGTACATTTGAGTTTCGATTTGTCTTTGACATCATTTATTTAGTTTTATTTGTCACGTTTTTGGTGCTGTTAAGTAGCACTTATAGGACTTTAAAGTATTTAATGTATGTTTTCCACTACTTCTGATAAACATGCCTCTGTTTTTGAATAAATATGATTTTTCAATTTTTATATATATATAAATTAATATATCGCATTTATAGAGGTTCATTTACACCCGTAATTTCAAAATCTGGACCTGTATGCTGGGTTGTATTAATTATCTTGTTTAATAGAATTTGAAACGGAACTTCAACGTTTATCTTAATATATTTAATAGAAATTTGTACAATTATTATTATTCTATCGAGAGATAGGGTAGTTGGCTATAATAGTAGGTTTTACTGCTTGTAGGTGGCTTGTTTAATTGTGGTGAAGGCAGATCTTACTTTTCTGTCTAAATGGCGCGTAAGTTATATACTATATACCTGTAAAGATTTTAAAGAGATTTAAAATTTATACTTGTACTTATACTTTATACTATACATACAGAAATCTACCATAGCTTTGTGCACCAAATAAGGGTAACCTTGTATTATTTTGGTGTGATACATATTAATATATTTTGGAGTTGCCATCACTTTTTATTTTTAGACTGTTTCAGTTATTATTTGACATATTTTGATTTCCAGTTCAGGTATTTTATTACTATGAAATGAACTATATAAACTATATAAAACTATATAATACTTTGTCTATAGAGATAATCAACTTTTTGTATATGATTATTGTGTGTATACATGCATTATATCGTATTCTCAGAGTTCAGTTAATTTTATTAATTTTATCAATCAAATAATACCAATCAATTAACTTTTATAAAAAGGTCTAAGACTTTTTAAAGTTTTGCATTTATTTTATTAATTAGTTCAGATTTCAATATATATTATATTTTACGTATTGTTTTATTTTCCCAGTAGAACATAGGTGCTTAAATAAAATATAAAAACAAATTCAAAAAAAAAAAAATAAATAATAATTAGAAAATAATTAATATTTTTGTTTTTTTTTTTTAGAATCCAATACAAAAGAAGCGCATCCTAGAAGAAGTCGAAGCAGAGATCTACGCAATAAATGCAGAACAAGCCTGTTTGGTAATACGCTTAAGACGTCTAGTGGATAATTTTGTGAAGACAATGTCCAATGCTGGTGTTCCGCCTAACTATCCATCAGCATACGATATGATTTCGCGAGAGGTGAATTCATTAGTTGAAGATCAATCAATACTTGTATTCCCGAAATATGTAGCGCTACGTAACAGTGAAGAAGAACTAATTAACAAGTATTTTGAGGTGCGACAAGATAACGAGTGCTTTGAAGTACTTGATTCTGATGAAGAAGCTTCATTGCAAGCACAACAAATAAAAAATGACAGCACAGTTGCTGAAGTTGATTTAACTGTCGAGTATCCTAATCAAGAACAAAATGGTAAACAATTATCTTTGCTTAAACCTTTGGGTCAACGTGTGGTGAACAATGGTAATGAACAATCGACTGATTCATTACCTAAACAAGAGAAATATTCTCGCAATACATCGCCTTTGTCTTCTATCAGTGATGAAAAATCAAGCGTCGAATCATTGTCAAATGGAAGCAGTGAAAATAATTCGAAAGACAATATCGTGGCCAAAGTACCAGTGACGAATATACGCATGAGTCGCATGAATTTACGCCAAGCACTTAAAAAAGCACGTACAGAAAATTTAGCTGCATTACAACGCACACCAAAAGATGCGCCAAGTACATCGGCGGCGGCACTAGCAGCAGCAGCACCACCACCACCAGCAGCACCAGCACCTGCACCTGCACCAGTCGCGGTGAAACAAGGAACTAAAAAATCCACAAGTGCTTCTAATACTAATTCGTCCACAACAGTACATTCTGCCACAAACACAAAAAAAAGTGAGTCTAGAAAATCTACACGTGGCGCTGCAACTGCGTCTACTAAAGCCACTGATATACAAACATCATCCGATGATTCCAATTTAGAACGTGAGCGAACTCCACCGAAATCTTCATTGTTCGATGAGCCAAAACAAACAGAAACAATGCCTGAAGACGTCGGACAGGAATCATTTTTAAAAATTTTTGGTTTGTTTACATTTGAATACAGGGCCCAAATGCAACAGCGTCGTTCCAAACGTAAACGCCGTTGTGTTCACAATAATGAACGTTCCGATTTCCTTTACGGACGTTTTGAGGTTAGGCGTTAATATTCCAATATAATTTTCACAATCACATTTTTTTAAATTAAAATTAAATTATATATTTGTATAGGTTAATAATTCTGCATCATCTGTTGAGGAGAAAAAGAAACGCCAACCTTCATGGCTATCGCCTCAGCCAAAAAAACGCACTAAGCGTCGCAGTGCAGATAAACAAGATGATATAAATAGTTCCCGTTCCAATTCGAGTTCGCCAAATGATAAACGTGCCTGCAATGAGTGTCTTAAAGGAGGAGGTAAATGATTCTTTAATTAATGAAATAATTATAAATTTGTAATTTTGGTCAGACCAATTTTGTTTCGAATGTTTAAATAAAAACAAACATACAAATAATAATTATTAGATAATTAGAATATTTACAGAAGCACTTCAGTTTGCCCTTAATTATTTAAAAATTAAACTGAACCACATAAAATTTGTAATTCGTCTCTATTATTCACAATAATTCTGTAAAAATATTTAAATTAAATAACTGAAGTTGCAATAAATATATTATTTAAAAAAAATATATACCTATATCTCATTTAAGATTTTGCGATAAAAATTGGTTTATACAATATTCACTCTATTCGAAGAGCATTTTAGAGACATTGCTCTTTAAGTTAGTTTTATAACGCACGTTGCTCCATCATGTCCATCATCCACACACGTTTTATTCAGATAGACAAGATAGACAAAATTAAGAAAAAAAATAATAATAAATACTATATGCCATATCAGCGATGCATATCTTCCTCGAACCGCTTCTGTTCTGTCTATTAATCAGGATAGATGTTCAGCTTGATGTCGGAGTTTTTGTAAATTTATAGTGTAGTATACTATAGATTAATAATGGTTAATAATAAGTATATAGTATACTGTAGTGTAGGAATGATTACAAATCGAAACCATCAGTTAGGATGAAGTGTGCTAAAATAGTAATATTGAGAAATGGGAGCAAAAATTGGATATAGATGAGCGCTCTTGAACGACACTTTTAACAAGAATTTTACCACTTGTTGTTGTGGTAAACCCGCTAGGACCTGTAAACAGATAACATGAAAGAATATACAAGATGATTAAATGCGTGGAGAAGTAGTATACTTTGTTGTATACTTTGAGGATCTACAAAAAAGAATTACAAACACATGGGTTAGGATTTATTAGGGTAGAAAGACAGAGTGTTGTTAAGCGTAGACTGCGTATGTGGATAGAATTGAATTGAAAGTAGCCCGGGTAGAGTGGGTAGGCCATTTGAATTGGTCGGAACTAAAGATCAATAGGGCACAAATGTGTGTATGGGACATGAAAACAGGGAGTAGAGCTATAGTTAGGGTGTAGTTAAGAACTGAAATTCATATGCATCAAGTAACTATTTAGCTATACATAGATCTCAACTGGGCTGGAGCAGTTGTTGCTGCATATAGAAGGCATGTTTCTTTCCTAAAAATATTAAGCAGAGGCTTAATAAGCTCGATAATATTCTGTCATTATCGAGCTTATGAATTCTAACCTGTTTTTGAAAGACCCGTCGTTCAGTGGCATTAAAAGAATTTCTAGAATTCTTCCCTAATAGAATTATTCTATTCTTCTCTAATATGTCAAAAGTGGTTTATGTTGAGTTTAACGAGCTTAATTCAATTAATTATTTAAGGGATTTGACAAGACCCTATTGTTCAGTAGAACTAAGCCGTATATTAGTATCCGTAATATTATTCTCTTATAATAGGTAATAATAAAGCTGACTTAGATAGACGCATATATATCTGAGGTCAATTATTGCTTTATATGATGAAGTGATAAACACTAATCCAGTCAAGGCATAGAGAAGGGTTATGAAGAAACCTCGCAGTTAATAGAGTGTACAAGTACTCAAGTGCACTGACTCAACTAACCTCAACATAATAATATATAATACCTATAGAAATATATATAATATACATAGAAATATATATAATATATATAGAATCATATATTTAGTATTATAATTATTTTCATTCCATATTATTTATTTAAACGCCATTTAATAATGGCGTTAGATAATAATATACATTATTTGCAAGTAAGATAATACTAATTACTTATTTTTATAAATATTTTAGGTTGTCTAGATCAATGTGCCGAATGTCAATTATATTATCATGATTCCTGCCATCACGAAGACGATATTGAAAAAATTTTACCTGATAAAGATAGTTACGAAATAGATAATATCAAACGTTGCCCTCGATGCAAACGTGCTATGAGTGAAGAACTCGAAAAAGGTAATAAGTAATTATCAATCTATTAATTTATTTAAATAAGCGTTTTTGAATATAAAGCACATGAGTTGCAAACTTTAAACAATTTAAAACTTCTTTGAAAATAGGGGTTGAGTTTGTTAATTTAAGGCAGAAGTTTCAATTAAAAGCCGAACAGGAGCTTAACCGTCGTTATAGTCTAGAAAAGGTGTCAACCGAATTTAAGTCACAAATGCGTGAATTGTTTAATATCGTTAATGTTGTTAGAACCCACAAAATTTGAAAGGAAAATTCAGCATGAAAAAGAAACTAAAAAACTATGTATAATATTTACAAAAAAAACAACAAAAAAAATTTTTTTTAAAACATATATTAATTATATTAAATAATTAATTTATTTATTTAATATATATACTATAATAATCGGTTTTTAAGAGATATTGATATGTTTATATATTTCTTTGCATTTTGAATTGCTTTTGAATTATATACTTTAAGTATGTACGTACGTATTTTTTCTTGAATTATTTAATTTTCTTCAATGCTTTTACGTTAATTACATACATACGTTTATTGATTGCCACTTTAATTTATAATTAGTAGTTAGTAATAATTAAGCCTATTAACAGTACATTTCATGATTTGCTACATAAAAACATAAATTTACTATAGAAATTATATATAAAAAAATTGACTGTGAGATATTATAATTTTTATAATAATTATTTAGTTGAACACACACAGTATCTAACGCTTTGTAAATAATGAATCTAAGAAAAATTAAAAATTAAAATTAAATATTGTCTGAATTACAACCAATACGATGCTTATATTTATAATATTTTTCGTATTCTGTAAATTGTTACTGGAATTACAAAGATCACCTAAAAATAATAATTAAAATAAATCATGATGAAATAAAATTAATTGTTTTTTTTTTTAATTTTTACCTTGACAAAAGCACATATAGACTTTTTTATAATTGTAAATTGTATTCGCGCAACGATCTTGGTTATCGTTTGGTCCACGTTGTACACACATTCGTTGTATAGCTTGGTCGTAATCTTAAATGAAATAAAAATAGAATTAATTATGAGTCAATTAATTATTTTTATTGTGCAGCCACAGACAATAGCCATGAGTAGGAGCTAGTTATATGACAACTAAAACAAATCCCTTGCAAATGCCCAGGCCTAATAAGATTAAGACATTACACACGCAATGGCAATCTACTAAGTAATGACTCTTAAGGTAAGGTTAGGTTAAGTTAAGATGGCTGTCTGTTAACCACTCATAGACCTATTAATCTCTAGAGATAACAGTTACGAATTAAATGTCTATGTAGATTTTTGTGGTAGAGACTTTTATGCATTTAAGTTATGCAGGAAGACAGACAGAAACATCAAGCATTTTTTGTAACGTAGTTGTTTTAAAACTAAAAATCTAATACCGCGTTTGTGGTCATAAAACTGTGGCTATGCGTTATCTGACCGGATGTGTGGTTATGACTGTCACTAAATGGCAGTAGACTATGACCAGCTTATGGCTGGTTACATAAGATGACCGAACAGTTTGGCTTATGAACATATTTGGAATATCTAAAAAACCTGTGAATAAAATAGTTAAACACAAGATTAGAAGGATAAAAGGATATTTTAGAAGGATATTTTTACTCATTGTGAATTAACAATAATTATTATAAATATTGTTTATAAAACAAAGCTAGATAAGGTAAGCCCAGCAAAGCCCAACCCTATAAATTATGTCAACCTGATTGTGGAATAAGTTGAGGTCACTGATAGAAAAATGGTTTATAACCCAAAAAATTCGGTTACCTGGAGTGTCATTCTAGTAACCCCAAGTTGGTTCGTCTTTACAACTATAGTCGGGCGCCCCTCATAGGTTTTATAGAACTAAGGTTGTTGGCAATGTAGCTGAGGTACTGAAGCGAAAATCCTGATAACCGCCGGATAAAGAACAGAACTGAAGTTATTGACAGATTATCTGATAGGTCGTAAGGTTATCATCTTAACAGGATAGCGCTATCAAAAAGAAAATATCGATTTTGTCTAGCGACGGATAAGACTATTAATTACATTTAGGTCCGTCTTTGATTTGGTCTTCGAGAAGATTACTGTGTCGAATGTCCCTAATGTTCGAATGTTCTGTCTAATTTTTAGATTTCTTTAACAACTGACATTTTGACCTGTATTGGAATAGCAGACTGTTATACTGTTTAATTAGCGACAGGTTCCAGTACTCCATTGGTTACCAGTATTCTATATATAAGGAAGAAAAAAAGTGCTTAATATCTTTTGCACTAGACAAGATCAACGTTACAGTATATCGAATACTAACACCGCGTTATCGAATCTCAGAATGGTTACAGGCTCCTCGGAGAGGTATGCAGATCTGAGGTCAATTATTGCTTAGTCTGATGAAGTGATAAACAATAATATATTCAAGGTGTAGGGAGGGGTTTTGAAGAAACCTCGAGTTAAAAAAGAGTATAAGTGCTTAAGTGCACTAGCTCAAAACAGCTTCAACATAATATATACGCTTTTAATTGTATTGATTTCAAAATTAAAACAAATTAAGAAAAAAATAATAAATACTATATGCCGAAATAAAGCAGAACAAACACAAATACTGTGATAATCTACCAGTTAATTCAAACCATTTATTGGTACCTATGACAATAGGAGATACCAGATTTGTATGAAAGTATCAAACTTGGAAAAACTTAGAACATCATACCTAAGAATCTTAACAAGACGTTGTAAACTAAAATACCACCTTGCGAGTATGGTCATATATACAGATCAAACTGTAGATTCTGCGAAGAGAATAAGGAGTTAGGTACACATGTGCTTTTAGAATGCCCTGCGCTAATGCACACACAGAATATATGGGTATGTATATCCTTATGATAGAAGTAATAAAACTCTGTTATTAGGTTGTAGAGGTTAGAAAGTCCCTAGGGTTTAGAGTAAATCTCTAAGAAGGGAAGATGGTCGCTTCGCCACATCTACTCTTAATAATAAATAAATAAATATGCAGATTTAGCTTGCTTCTTCAGATATTGAGGTTCAAAGTAGTAAATGTTTTACATTGATTGTTCTATAATAAACTACACACGCCATCTAGTGCAAACTAATATATGTAATTTTTACTGTGTTGTGAAAACAAAGGGTGAAAGCATACAGTTACGTAAGACAACGTCTATTTACAGTTGGCGAAATTGCCTTTAGGTATAATAGAATAGAAAAGCCGCCTATAATAACTGTTTATAAAAATAATGGCGTTTTGAGTTATAAAAGGGTTGTGGTTGAAAAAGTAAAACCAAACAAGAAGTGTTTGTTTTTACTTTTCGACTTGATTTTAACTGAATACAAATCTTATATATAAACTGGGTTTTGAGAATATACGTTCATATCTTTTGATTATGCATGTGGAAAACAAGACGGAAACATAGATGATGTGTTACTTAAGAATTTAATTACAATATAATTAATAAGCTCACAGTAGCAATAAGGGTCTTCATAATAACTTTTGAGAACATTCGCCGGTGTCTTTTGGATGTGTTCTGAAAAATAAACTAACTATAAGATTCTACATCTGAAGAGAAAGGATTGTGATAATTTTGTTGGTATTGAATACGCACTTTAAGAAAAAGTGCTAAAGATTTTTTAATTCCAATTCTATTATTTTATATATTTTATTTATTTATTAAGTCCAGTTGAGTATAATTTATTTGTAAAAATTTTAAAATTATAATATTTGTACTTCTTTTTATTATTAAAAAGATAGACTTACCGTCCACTGCATAGGTACCACCGCCTTCAATTACTTTCCCACACCAACCTGATGCACAGGGTATTGCTGATAGTCCCGGCTCATTCTCTACGTCGGTTGCATTAAATGAAAATGGATCCTTGCAACTTCCCAACTCACCTCGCGATCGACATTGATAGCAACGCCGCAGTAAACCTTAAAATGAAAGATATGAAATTTTTAAATATTTTATTCATTAGGTTTGTAATTATCGATGATTTATGATATATTAAAATTAAGAAAAAAGTGGATCTTAAGAAAAATTTTTTATCTTTCTCTTCTTTTTTTTTTTCATTGACTATTAGCTAATCACAGTCACTCTATGCTTGTATTTAACAAATAAACAAATTAATTTTTTAATGGTAAAATTTTTAAAGGTTAATATTTAAATAAATTTTACATTAAATAACATTTTAGAGGCTTGAGTCATTAAAGAAAGACCTTGAAATTGCACATTCTCCATAACTGGCATTTTATATTCTTTAATTGATATTTAATTGCTGATTTAGAAATTAAAAGTTGGACCAAAGTACGTTATTTAAAGGTAAATGCAAACATAAAAAATATTAAGTTTTTTAATGACAATAAACTCTCACGTATTATGTTTTAATCAATTAATGTTGAAAGAAAGTATCCATATTGTCACAAAACAAAAGACTTAAGGCAGATACAGTTTTTAAATTTACCCTGCGAAATATTGACACAACCCAACAGTGTTATTATCACAGCAACAAGTAAAAATATTTTTTTCATATTTATTTAATATATAATATTTACTATTTTTAACAAAAAACCTTATAAACAAAATAAAAAACTATAACTTATTTTGTGCAGAACGAATTCATTTCTCGAATAATGCAATAACAAATATGTGGACAGCAGCAAATACTTTATTTACCGTAAATGTATGCTCTCTTCGTGATTACGCTCTCACAGAAAAAGCAACAGCGCCACACTGCTGTGAAAATTTTAAGCACTTTTAGTTGACTTATAGATGGCGCTTTACGTTGTTCAAAAAATTATATTAAAACTGATTTGTTGAATATTAATTAATAAATCTTAAATAAATATAGAAATATATACTTAAACATCATTTAAAATTTTTTCTGCAAATAGAAAAGTTATACTTTAGTCGTTCATATAAATTATTAATATTGTATATGGCGTTTGTAGAATAATAATTTGTAATAATTATTATTATAATTATAATAATAATGTAGTCTGTAGTGCTCTTTCACGTTTTAGTTTCTTAATTTTTTGAAATAATACAATATTAAAATAAATTTTTTTTGATACGCGTTTATTTGAATTGGCAATACTGCAAGATTTATGACAGCACGCAAATTGACATTTATTATTGTTGTTGTTACTCCGTAATCGGCAGCGGCTGCCATTGCATTCAAATTGGTGCTACGTAGAAAACACAGTTTCTTTGCAAACGGTATTAAATATATTTAATAAATATTGTATACATCACAGAACATTTTTCTAATAATATTTTAAAGTATTTTACTAAAAAATACACTGAAATTGGTATGTATAATTTATAATATTGGCAAGACGCCACTATGCATTTGTGTTAGCAACAGGTTTTGTCCAAACAAAGTTGCGTCAAGTTACACATTTTCAAAATATTTTTTGATTTAAAGTGTCAAATAATACAAATAAAAATCGTCAAAGCTTGTTAATATTTTTTATTATTCAAATACAAATACTTTTAAACTTAATATTCTTTTAGTAAACAAAAATGTTTCGCAAATGTTTTGCCAGTGATGATCAATACGATGAGAGTTTCAATGATAGTTTCGAGACTCTGGAAAAGATGTGCGACAAAACAGCATCTGATCCAGATAGCACACTGCACAAATATTTATATGGTGATCTAAAAGACGGGGAAGTGCAAGGTAAAGTAATATATAAAATATATTTCAATATTTTGTATAATCCTTTATCAATTTAGATGGTATGAATAAACCTGATGAACGTAACTTGGTTTCGAATTTGCAGAAAATGCATATTGATCAAACAAAAGAATTTAAGAATATATCTTGCGGTGATATGACACAACTAGATGATATTGAGCCTCCAACACGTTTGTGGGAAAATACCTTTTTAGATTTAGTAGAACCAGAAATATCACCAGTCAAAATGGTCGGTTTAATGCGTCCGTCCACTATCATGGAAGAGAATAATGAGTCCGAAGTGTCACGCATAAGTTATCACACAGCTAAAAAAGATTCCAGCAGTGAAATAACCACTAGTTCCTATAGTACAGCATACGATTATTGCAATCTTTTTAAGTATGACTTGCCAGATAAAGCAAAACAAGCTTTTGTCGGAGCAGATGTTGGAGATACTCATTCAAACAATAGTGATTTGATATGTTTATCACCAGATAATAAAAATGAAAATATGTTAAAAATAACATCGGGCAGTAAAAATGCAGATATTTCAAAATTGTGCTTTGATGTGGATGACAAAAATATTACCCACATTGATTTGGAATGTGATGATTCCATAATTGATTTAGTTTCGGATGAGGACAATACATATGATCAGGATGAAATAGAAGAAATGATTAAATCTACTATGTCTTTGAATGCTATCAAACAAGAAACTGAGTCCAGTCGACAATCTAAAAATGAAATTGATGTTAGTAAACAGTCATTGAATTTTGACGACACAATGGAAGAGGTTGATTATCTAATTAATAAGTACATGGCTCAAACAAATGCTAAAATTGCTAACAATGCAATTAAAATGAAAGAAGCAGAAGCAGAAGCAGCAAAAGTTACTGAAACAATTGATTTAGTCCATGAAGAAAAAACTCCAGGAAAAGGTTTGTTTGATTTTTCTTTATTTTTTATTTATTTCTTTATACTATTTTTTTGTTTCTTAATATTCAATTTTCTAGTATTTGAAGAACCTTTAGGAACAACTAAACGTTTATATGAACGCGGTGAGAATAAGGAGAATCGTTATGCTTTCAACATGAATATGCCTAAACTTGATTTATTTCAAAATATAAAAACACCAGTAAAGAAAACTAACAATGAATTCAATAATGTTGTCAGTCCAATTAGAGCGTACATTCACAAAACTTCAACCACACCACTCATGACCAGATTTAAGCCTATTAGCACAACATCAAACATCAATGATTCGCCTGTTTTCAAGAAATTGGATTTCATGTCACATAATGTTGGTAAAATGTCGACCTACGATGAGAGAGATCTAATACCAAATGTACCAACAAAATTACCGAAAAAGGCATATATATCTTCCGAATGTAAAAATGTAAGTTTTTAGATATTCAAAAATATTAGCAATAAGTTTTGTGGTATATGAAACGTAAAAAATAACAGTTTATATTAAAATGACTTTGCTTGTTGCGTAGAGGCGAGGCATTAGGCTACTGTAGCTTTCTTAATATATGAAATACAATATTACTAACCCTTCATATAGGGTTAGTAATATTGTATATGTATTACTTATATATATTACTTATAATATCAAATATTATTTATAATATCAAATATTACATATTATATATCAAATATCACACAGTATATAAAACATTATTTCCTCTTTCCATATTTTTATAAAAGATGACGAGATTTTTTATTTAAACATTTTATACTTGTAAATCAGATTTCAAATCTTTGTCCTTCATCCGTCTCCTTTCAAAGCTGTCATCCTGCAAAACTAGGAACTTCGCCCACTTTATAGAATTGTTAGGTTGATTCATATCTACTCAATGGGGGAGTCGTGCCTTTCCGCGTTGCTTGTACGCTGAACTCTAGTCGGCGTATATACAAACGTTAATCCTATGGTACTACAATGAGCCATCATTTGAGCTTAAGTGGTCTTGTACCTAACAAGGCTACTTCTTCAAGCTAACACATAATTTTAATAGGGGTTCTCTCAAAATAGTTTCTAATATTTAATGAGCCTTTAAATCTTTATATTTTAGAACTTAAGATTTGTACCAAGTCTTGATAGGTGTTCAACATATAAAATATTTGAACGATTTAGGTAGATGATAGCATACCAAACGAGTAGAATTTCGATATTATTGTTCCGTCTCAAGGATCTGTACCAACTACTAGACATATATTCCATCTTTAGCTCCGTCCCATTGAAGTGGCTAGGTTTCTCCGTTTTGACACAGGTTGAATTTAATCTAAATTCCGCCCACCTCCAATACATTCTTACTCCTAAACAATTCGCTCCTCCCTTACTATCATCATTTATGCACATCGATTTATACGTATATATTTGTAATTAGTTTTATGTTATATGCTCAATAGATCTCCGTGGGTTAGCACAACAACAATAATAAAAAGACACATGCGTTATTATTGTAGTCTTTAATTTGCTCTTTCGACAATTTACCATACCTAAAATACAAGAAAAGTGTTCCGAATACTATATGGGCATTCACAATCTTTTTTTCGATTTCAACTAAATTCAAAATGGCTAACATGAGTATTTTGAAAAAAAAGTAAAATTCCAATGCAGACTAACGTTGACAAGGATCTGTTATGGTAGAATGATAATTATATGCTTTTGATATAATCTGTAGTAGCGTGAATAGACCTACAGAATATTATTATGCTATAAGACAAATGCTTTACTTGTGATGGGGTGTGTGTATTGGAAGAATAGTGTAGGGGATTATGGGAGAATAGTGAATGAAACAGATGTGAATGTGTGGGAGAATATGTGAAACAGATTGGACCTTTATTATCCTGTTATATATTAAATTTCGCAGTAGTGTGATTATGTGTAGAGCAGGTGTTTACTATAGTTATATACTGAAACGTGTTCAGCTCCTTGCGATTTGCTTGATATTTATATTGTTGGATATGGAAATGTGAACTTTTCTTTATTTTGGATTTGTTATTAATTTGTAAGCTGGCGTAGAAAAATGTATTATCTTTGATATTTATTTACCTTAATCTGATACTGCCTAGAATTATTTTACTGCTTAGTAATCGTGGTTTATTTTCTGTTAATATCACATTTATTTATTTTTTTTTAAACAGAATTTACTTTTAATATGCTTATTATTTTGATATCTTCCATTGCTTTAATAAAAACTAATAATTTATTTTGTCAATATTTTAACTAAAAATAATGTAACGCCATTGTTTTAAAATTTGTTTTTTAAAAATTAATTAATAAAAAAAAATATATTTCATACTTAGTACCACAAATTTAAATAAAAATTTAAACACTCAAGATCTTTATTTAAAAATAATTTAATTAAAATATATACTATGTCATACTTAGTACCACAAATTTAAATAAACGTTTAAATTCTCTCAGTTTTTTGATGAGCGACAACCAGTCAAAATACCCGGTGGACCAAAGATCCATAAATTCTTAGATTCCGCTACGTTACCAGCTGTTGTTCGGCATGAGGGTAAAACTAAAATTCCACCTGGTTTGTTGGATGCATTTCCAAAAGATGCAAAGAAGGAAGTTCCACATCAAAATGATTCTACTTTAGTCGGTCTGGAGGTTCAAGAAGGTGAAATGTCCGTTTACACAATTAAAGATGCTCAACAATTTAAATAATTAATTTTTATTATTTCAATAACATTTTCAAATTCCTTATTTTAATTTTAATTCGCTGAAATTCAAAATTTTTTAATATTTTATTTTTTTTCAATCATTTAATATTTTTTTAAATATTTTTTTACCTGCAAGTATGCAGGTGAAATGTAATCCCTTTATTTCAATACTTTGAAATGCTGAAATGTTAATACGGGAACGTTCGATATTCTTTTATATCGTTTGTTATTGTGCTAATTTTATAGACACAACTTATAATTGAAACATTGTTTTAAAATAATAATGAATAACAAAAATGTGAGATTTGTTAAGAAATGCAAAAAACTCTATTTTTGTAATCAAAATAAAGAAAAAATGTATATATTTTGTATACTCTAGTATGATTAATAAACAAATCAATATCTCTGCATATGTAAAGAGTACTTACAGAAGCTATTGTTAAACATTTATTTTTATTAATATTTTAAATTAATTAACATAGTTTGTACAATTACTAATGCATAAATAAATAAATCTTAAGTATTACCTTAAATAATATATAACGAATAGTATTTGTTAGGGTCTACTAGTTGGAGAGAGTGCTACTATTTAGTCTACTACTTAGATTATGGGAGAATGTAGAAATAATAATGAAATTTTTATTTCAAAGTATATAGATATCTTTTTGTAAATTTTTAAGTGTTTAATATAGCATAAAGATTAGTATTAGCAACACCATAACACATGATATAAGTTTAAGTGGTATGAACTTAAGAATATTTCCGAGAGTTTTTAGAAATTCTGCTCATTAATGTCTCTACCATCAACCATTAATCTGTTAGTAGTATGTATAGTTTCTATTTTGAAATTAATTTCAATATTATTTTTAATAATTTGTCTGTGGAGTACTAACACACTCTTTTAAAATCTAATAATTTAATTATGGATCACATAGTGGGGAATAATATTAACTAGAAAAATTTATTAACGTAATATGTATGTTTAACAAAAATTTGTTTTTAAATAAGTACATTTTTCGGCTGATCATATAGCTGCTAATATATTCATTATCAGTTGAATGTCGAATATTCATTATCAGTTGTCTTTGGAAATATTTGCTAGTCTAATAGTTCGTATACATTTTTGAATTTTATCAGGAATTGAACTTGGTTTGATTAGAAGCTTGCACCAGATTAGATTTCCAAATTGGTGTAAGAAAAAAAAATTAAAAAAGGGGAAGAAAAACTTTTGAAGTTTAAAATGTTGCTGTCAAATTTAGTTCACCTACTGCCTATTAGATTTCATATTTCATATTTCTTTCTATATTTAGCAAGATTTCTTCCTATATTTCTGTTCCTTTAAATACAAATTATCTAATTATGCGATAATAAAATGGGCCTATAGGCCTGAGTGGATCCTTTGGGGTCACCGGCATAACCTAACCTAACTTAAATATAAATTAGCACAACCCTTTTCATATCATTTAATGTATTGCATTGTAATTATATTGTAATTATACATGCATACGATTCTGTTTATCAGGACCATGCATGGATCATAACAATATCAGCTTGTCATAGTTCAACATGACGACTTATACAGAAAATAAAATTATTGTTTCTGATATTAATATACTATTCATAATAATCAATTTATAGTTTCTAAATTTCCATAACGCATATTCAATTCCTCTAAAGCTAACTTTTCTTTAGACTCAATCTCTTTTAATGCTATTCTCTCTTTCATTTCTAACTCTAGTATTTGAATTTTTTCCTTACTCTCCAGCTCCTTCTCTTTTAAATATATTTCCCTTTGTTTAATTTCCTTTTCCAGCAAAAATCTTTCATGCTCAAGAGCAAACTGTTGTTCCGTAAGACTATGTTTCCTCCTACGTACCTCTAAATCTAACATATTGTTGTCCCTAAGCTCATTCATATTTGCTTGCATATCTAATGTTTCCGACAATGGCGTGTAGGAGTATATTCGCTTGCTAGCATTGTGTGACGGCGATGGAGAAATGCTTTCCAGATAGTCGTCTTCTAATTTTACATTTATAGAGATGTCTTCATTTGATTGATAGTTTTGTATCGATATTATAGTGTCATCGTCTCTTTCTATTAGTGTTGTATTAACAGGCCTTTGCTGACTAGTTGTTAAGTTTCCAAACACTACTCTTAAATCGTTAAACAAGGGACATATTTTAAGTCTTTGACCTGCAAAAAGAAACACTTGATAATACATTTTAATTAAAAATAAGTATAAATTTTTACCTTGAATTGTGTTTTCGTCTTGCCAAAGTCCATCTTCCGTTGGATTTGGTAAGTTTAGAGCCTTCTTATATACATCTCGTAGATTCCGTACCTTACAGCGTATATTCCCCCAATCAACTTCGATTTGATTTTTTTTGGCAAATCTTGTGTAGTAAATTTGTGCTGTTGGCTTCTCTATCGGTTTATTTTCATTTAAGAATTCAATGAGCAGTTTGTGCTCATAATCCGTCCACCTTTTATATGGTTCCTTCCGTACTCGAGTTCGTTTAATCTGAAAATGAAAGTGGTATATATAAATAATATTTCCTCTTCATAATAAATACTAATAAATTAATAAATTCATGTTTACTTTCTCGCTCGACATCGCACTTGCACGATTCCTTCGATAATTTCTTTTATTATAACAAATTCTAATTCATATAAATAAATTTATAAAATAGTAAATAAATTATGTAAACAGCTGGTATAAATTACAACATTACCACATTTAAAAAACACGATATTGTTAATTTACCAACATTCGCCTTCATACAGCTGAATGCAGGCAATAACAAAAACAAATACCATCTGGTAACTTGTGATAAAAATACTACGACCAGACGCACAGTGGTTGATTTAAGTACAAAAAGTGAATAAAATAAATTTTATAATACATTATTTTTTATTTTTATTATTAATAATATAATATAATAATAATAATATAAGATTAAAATAGTAATCATATAATAATAATATAATGTAAAAATAATAATGTAATACAAAATTAATGATATAATATAAAAGCAATAATATAATATTAATATGTAATGATACAATATATATAGCATATTATAAAAATTTAAGCTGTCAAAAACATTTACATTATTATAATTTAAATAACAATACTAGATTCTCACTGAAAATATTAATGTGGAAGTCTGATAAAATAGTTAAAACTAGTATAATAATAATGTAATATAAAAATAATAATATATTATAAAAATAATAATATAATAATATAATAATATATTATACAAACTTGATCTACCATAAAACAATAGCATAATTTTTATTAAAAAAAAACAAATTGATTCTAATTGAAAGTGTTAGTGTAAAAGACTAATAAAAATATACATAAATAATAAATAATATATAAATTATATATAAAATATAACATATAAAAATTTAAGTTGCATTATCAGCATTACCAATATTAATATGATTTTTATATATAGTAAAAAGAACAGTGTATTAGATTCTCATTGACAATATTACAAAATATAAAAATAATAATATAATATTAAAATTTTAATATAATAAAAAAATAATAATATAATTTAAAAATAATAATAATAAAATTTCTCTTTTAGTCTTTTTTTCTCTCTTAGTCTTTCTTTTGGTCTTTGTCCCTCTCTTAGTCTTTTTGTCTCTTGGTCTTTTCCTCTCTCTTTCGGTCTTTCTCTCACTATTTCGTTCTTTATAACTCTTTCTCGGTCTTTCTTTCTCTCTCGGTCTTTTTTCTCTTTCTCTCTTGGTCTCTCTCTTGGTGTTTCTATTTCTTTCTCTTTCTATCGGTTTTTCTCTCTTTTTTCGGTTTTTTTTCTTTCTCTTTCTATCGGTTTTTCTCTCTTTTTTCGGTTTTTTTTCTTTCAGACATTTTTCTTTCGGTCTTCTTTTACTCTCTCTCTTTATATCCCTCTCGGTATTTCTCTCCCTTAAAATCTTTTCTCTCTTTTTTAATCGGTATTTCTCTCTTTATCAATTTCGGTTTCTCTCTGCTTCTTTCGACCTTTCTCTTACTCTTTCGGTCTTTTTCTCTGTGTTTTGTTTTTAATCTCTCTCTTTCGTTTTTTATATCTCTTTTTTGGTCTCTCTCTTTCGATTTTTTTTCTCTTTATCTCGGTTTTTCTATTTCTTTTCCTTGCGGTTTTTCTATCTCTTCTTTGGTTCTTTCTCTTGATCTTTTTTTCTTTCGAACTTTTTTCTTTTTTTTTCCTCTCTCTCTTTATCAATTTCGGTTTCTCTCTCTTTATCAATTTCAATATCTTCTTATTGGAGTTCAAGTTTGTAATCTTTCCCCAAAATAATGGCGCTATTGAATTATATGTTATGTATGTTACTATCCATGGAAAGTAATTTTCAATTATATTACTTTTAAATTCAATATTCTTATATGTTTAATTTAAATTTAAGTTACATGATTTATAGTTAGTTATCTATCCTGACATTATGCGATCTGTGATTTCTATCGTTGAATATAACTCTCATTCATTAAACTATTACTAATATCCCCTTTAAATACAAGTGCAACTCTAGATTTTCTAAATTTTACAACGTAATCAAATTTAGCTAGCTTTCTATATACGATATACTCAAATAAATGGATTATTATAATTTATAATTTAGTCCCACAAACCACTTTTCTAACATAATTCATTTCCACGTGCATAAGGATCGAGTATATAACTATTATAACACTTTAGCAATTTATATTGAACTTCGCTTCGATCAATAAGTTGTCTGCTGATGCAACTTTAATCTATGTAGAATTTGTATCTCATTTTTACAAAATAAACTCTTAGTAATTAACTGTTCAAGAGTTTTTATTAATCTCTCATGAGATTTTTAAACTAATATATTCTTAATAACTGTACAACCCATATATCATCCTCAACTATGAGTTCCAGTAAATGGATCACTTGTAGAGTTATACATAGACCTGAATACAACTTGCATGTGAATTCGGACTGCAAAGTAACAAAGAGTAATACTCCAGTCTAGTCAAATGTGAAAGATCCCACACAGTATTCTTATTAGATGTGTGATGCAACTTAAATGGGATGTTGACTTCAACGGAAATAACTAACACAGCAATGAAAAAGGACTCACGTGTTTTACAATTCCAATTGTAAAAGTGAATCTAAAGTCCACACCCGAGGTAGACTGTCGTTCATCTTTTTTAATACTTTCCAATACTTTCCCAGGAAGTCCTGAGGACCGACGTGCTTACGACGACTCCTAATGCAATATCCTTGTTATGTGCATTATATACCATATTTAAATACTTATATTTGTACCAAATTTATTTCTGTAAGAACTTGTAAAACTCATATATCATATTTTGATGAAAGAGTAAAAACATAGAAATTTCTATGTTCTTTGTAGAAGGTTGTAGTCTTCGATTATCTTTATGTAGATTTTTATTATTGCATATATAAATTCAAATTATTTTTATATTATGCATAAAAAATGATATATCTTGTTTACTAACTTTCATTGAATTAAAATAGCTGAGAATGTGATTTACAAATTTCATGCACTCAAAAATTGTAATTTTCGACCAAATTAGTTTCGAATGTAAATCAAATTTTCAATGTAATTTGCACAAAAAATATTAAAGAAAAAAAAAATGAAAAAATTCTGAAAAAATAACTCAACCTTTGCGTTGTAAGTCCCAACCCATGAATATAAATCAGCAGTGAGAATTAGAAAAGGAATCAAGCAAATCATAATGCGAGGAATTTAAACAAACAAACGAAAAACAAATTTTACAATTTACATGCGAATCTGAATAGATGAGTTCGAGTATAAGGACGTACTAGTATCTGCATGACAATTGGGTGTTGGAAATGGTAGCACACTCTAACACTCCAACGCTTCAACACTTCAACATTCCAACACTTCGGTACCTCAACAGCTCAACATCTCAACATCTCAACACCTCCATGCTTCAACACTTCTTTCATTTGATAATTTACTGCACGGTTGACTTAAATCAGATTGGATGAATGAGTTGAACTATAAGCTATTTTCTGTCAACCCAATACTTAGACCAAACGAATGCCGGCGCAATTACCCATTCCGGATGCTCACCATCGCATCCAACCAATCTACGTGTGAATTTGTGCTTGTGCGGCGCTCAACTGAGATTTCATATTTTCTTTTCCGTTTGGTTGCATTTCATTTCCAATGCTTCTTCTTCCCATTGCAAAATTTTGCATATAAAATTTTTCATTTCATTTTGACTCAATTACAATTTACATGCGAATGGATTTCACAGTAATTCTCTCTTCATTTTTATTTATTCTGATTTTTTCTGTTTATTTGGAAATAAATTTGTAACGTGATTAAATTAATATGTAAAGTAAATATTGCATAAGGACACTCTTTGAGTCCTCGTGGATGTCAAATCATTCACTCATTTGTTTCAATAAAAATATTGTTAGAAAAATATATGAATCGTATCATTCTATCAAAAAAACCAACTGGTAATCCCAACTACCCCAGGCACATAGCCCGAGAGGGTTGAGGGTTTGAAAATATTTTAACGAAACCGAAGATTATATGTATACAATTATACAAATAAAATAAATAGTTAAAATTTATTCAATCTAATTATATATATATATATATAAAATATGTAAGGTATATATATATATTTATATATATAATGAAGTGGATAGGACACAAATCTTCGAGAGTGAAATTCAAACAACGAGAAGAAAACGAAGGCCGAGAAAGACATGGAGTGATAGTGTTAGGTAAGATATGAGAGATATGAAGATCATTAACTGAAAGATAAAAGCTAAAAATAGAGAAGGTGGAATGGAGGAATGTCGTATAGCAAGCTTAGGACCTACATGGACTATATAACTATGGATGATGATTGCACAAATTGTAAATCTGATAGCTATCGTTTATTTATTATTTTTGCTATATTTCTTCTCACATAAATCACCTTCATTAGAAAGTCTATAGTAAAACGATCTGTTGCAGCTGTGTTGATTGATTATATATTAGCCTTAGTTATTCAATATTGGTTTGTCCCAGACAATCGATTTCAGTATGCAGTAAGGTCCAGATTTAATGCGTAGAATATGGTGCTTTATAAGATATTAAATTTGAATTTGTTATAACTGGAAGATAAGGAAAAAATATGGAATATATTATGGAAGTGGCAATAGAATGGTCGAACTGAAACTGAATGAGTATGAGTTATTGGATTTGAGAAGCTACACAAATGCAGTCCTATCATCATATAAATTATAGGTTTCGTTTTTGAAATTCATGTCCTATAGAACAAAGACGTTTTTAGTGGCGCATTCTCATCTGCTAATACCATTAGGCAACATGTAAACTTGTTACTTAGTTGCATGACATATTTAAGACATTGGAACCGACTGCGGTCTTTAACATAAATTGACAGATGTAGAGTATAATAGTTAGGAATATTAAAAATGTAGTTCAGCAAATCAATTTCAATAGCACACACATCACTGAGCAATAGAAGTTGGATAGTGTCTTGAAAATAAATGAACTGCAGTAAGAGTTGTCAGCTTTTGTAGCAAGCGACTGTTTACTTAATCGATGGTTGGCCATAAATCTGTAAAAATCTTAGAACCGAATAATTATTGAATTTTAGAATTTCAGGTAAAATCGAAATAGACAAAAAAAT